TATGCCATGAGATTTTTAGCCCTGGACGCAGGGGCCTCTAGTGTGGCTGGAAGAGACACCGTTGTTTCAGGGTTATAGCTCTGTTCCAGCAGGAGCTCACTTTGTCGGGGGAGTGATTTGGGGAAGAGAAAGAGATAATAACAGCAAATTCAGTTCAGGATTAGGAGTCAGCTTTGCAGACTCATGTTATTTTATTGCATTCCAAACTTATTTTTTTTAATTGCCTCTGGACCTTTGGAGCTTGTTAGGTAGACATTTACACACATCCACATTTCCTTGTCCAAACTTTTATTCCACATTTGGGCTTGACAGCCTCTGGTTCTTCAGAGCCATGGGAAAATTTTTTTCAAAAACATGTGTCTTCTGACTTTTATAAGCTTAAAATCAAATAGGGAAGCAGAAGCATACATGGAAAAACTGGGAACAGTACAAAATAACTAAATACTAGGATAGCATCCCAGTACCCCGCAATACCGTGAGTTAGAGTTTTGTTCCTGACAGCATAAATACTCAAACGTAGACGTTAATCATTTTTATATTTATCTATCATCAGTGCAGGATGTGAATTTAGAGAGCCAGCTGTATGCACACGCTGAGTTGTGTCAGTCACTGGGAGTCTTGGTTTGCCAGCAATAGAAAGAGCGGGTCTTCAGCAAAACAGGGATTCGTTTGAAGGACGAGCGGGATGGCCAGGTGTCCTCCAGGGGGCCCAGCCAAAGGCAGCACTGGGGGGTCAGCAGCCGGAATTGGCGGCCTTTCTCTGTAGGGTGTTTCCTTAGGTGACAGGTGTCTCAAACTCCTAAGTACCTTCTTCTCTATTCAAAGTCCAATGACCGAGAAAGAAGAGCTAGAGCTGCCCGGTCTGGGGCTGGTTTCCCTGCCGGATCAAGTTACTGTGGCCGGAGGGGGTGATTACTAGGATTTGCCAATGAGAGAGTGGCTGGGGAGAAGGGGGCTGAATCAAATTGCTATTCTGCAGCCCTTTGTTCGCACAACCATTAAGTGAACATACTCTGTTTTTTAAAAGTTGCATAATATACAACATACAGCTTTGATAATTAAAAGTATCTGTTAAATGCCGCATGAGTGACTGGTATCCTAGTGTTTCGGGAATTTAGGAAAGCAGCAGGAGATAGTTACATGGAACTACTAATATGAAGATACGATTAATAACTACATCTGAGGAGATAATTTACCAACTTTGGCTTGGGGAAGTTTTGGAGTGGGAAAGGAGTAGTGCATCTGTTAAAAATAGAACAACAATATTTATCTTCCATCATCTATATAGTACATCTAGTCCCCCAGGGCTGACTAATCATGTTTAATCATTACACATGATTCAATGAGTATGTCCTTGCTACATATTACATAGGCCTCTGCCCACCACATGGAGTTGCCGCATGAGAAGCAGCTCCACCACCAATGTGCAGCCTGCAGTCCGTTCAGAGCGCCTGCCCTTACAGTTCTTTGGTGGAGTGGGCCGTGGTGCTCATGGAAACTTCTCGCATCTGCTCTCTGCTAAGACACGACGTGGCTGTCCCTGGACCAGTGTCATGTGTGTCCTCAGCTCCCAGGGCGGACTTTGTATATTCTGCACAATTTATAAAGGTTTTAGTTTAGCATCCAAATAGGCACTTCAGATCTGAAGCTTTATCCGTTGCATTTTGTGAAATAGGACACTATACTGAAACTTATTTTCCATATAGGTGACCTTGTCAAGAAACTCCTTAGGCCTCACTAGATCCTGCTCAGTTCGCCCAAAGAGTCTTCTCTGCACAGCGTGTTTCATGATTAGAAGCTATCAAAGCTTGCCTTCCTCATAGGGCACTCGTGACCAATCACTGAGAAGCACTAACATTTTCTCCCCTAGCTCCTCAGTAGGATAATCCAGGGTTATTCTGGATATACCTAACCATATTTTCATATTCTATTGAACAGAATTTAAATGAGATTGTTACAGCTCTGGCTGGTGTAACTCAGTGGATTGAGTGCAGGCTGCAAACCAAAGGGTAGTTGGTTCGATTCCCAGTCAGGGCACATGCCTGGGTTGCAGGCCAGGTCCCCAGAGGGGGCCATATGGAGAGGCAACCACACATTGACGTTTCTCTCCCTATCTTTTTCCCACCCTTCCTCTCTGTCTAAAAATAAATAAATATAAATTCTTTAAAAAGAAATGGGATTTCAAGCCTTTTGCAGATGAACTTTTCCAGCCTAAGCCACCACCTCTAAACTTAAAGTATTGAAACAGTTTGTCCCCCCTGAAGTCATCTGGGGGGACACCAGTCACCACCTCCTGTCTCAAACAGACATTTCAGCCATTCATCTCTCCATCATGGTCATTGCCATGGTCACTGCCTGTCTTTGTAAAATATTCTCTGAGAGAGGAGTAGGCTTTTTTTGGACGAGAACAGTATCGTGTGCCCCCGAATTCACAGCTGTTTCACCAAACAATGATGTTAGTATGTCCATAATGATGCTTTTGTGTGAATAAGGGGTTAAGGAGTAGTTTCTTTTTTGTGTTAAGCAAATGATGGATTTTTTTAAAAAGCTACTTTTGTTTAAATAATAATGTTTTATTGGTTGTTTGCCTCCAAGTTCCTAATACTTCTTAACAATTTAGTAAGCATTTATTAAATTTAGTGACTTATCATAATTTAGTATGAAATAATTGTCATAGCAAATTAGCATTTTCCTAGGATCTACAGAAATTTTTTAAAGACTAAGTTAAGATAAACATGTTCTTTTGGTATGTAATACATGTTCTAGGATTCTTCAATCAGATTGGCAATAAGCTAGCATGAATGTGCTAGTAATAATAATGTACCAGGAAGTGTATTGTAACACATTGTTCAAAATGACAAAAGATTGGAAGCAACCTGAATGCCTTTCTTATGAGCCCCGTTTAGTAAATTATGTGTCCGTAGAAAAAGGAATACACTGCAGTGCAGCTGTTAAGCAAGTGAATGAGATGGTTCTGTTTACAGGAGGCTATGGAGTGAGCTCTAAGATTGTTAAGTGAAAAAGGCAAGCTGCCCAGGTGTATAGAGTTGGCTCACATTTGTATACATGGAAGGAAACAATGTATCAGTATGTGTCTGTCTGTGCACAGTTATCCCTAGGAGGACACAAAACTGGCGTATCCGGTTTCTGGTAGCAGGGAGCTGGGGCAGGTCGGCAGTGAATGTGAGAAAAACTTCACTTTTCACTGTACATCGTCTATGCCTTTGTTTCATACACAGATGTTTCCTATTACAAATAAATAGTAAAAGATATTCCCCTCTGCCCTGGATGGTATCACACGAGGGAGGTATTGCTTAACTCTCCTGCTCCTGTCTTCCTATGTCCTGCCGCCAGCTGTCGTTTTGTGGGCTACAGGTCACCATTGTCTGGTTGGGGCTTTTTGAAACTTACATGACATACGGTGGCCATCAAACAGGGAATTCTTTGCTTTGTACAGTGCCAAACAGTGTAAATAGGCATTTGCTTTTTTGAAGGACCTGTTTTTCTGGTGTTTTTGTGAATTCACTATTGGCAGTGATTTGGTAAAGTATAAATAATATTCATTTTGACAAATATTGCCTTGTGGTCAAGTTAAACTAGTCATTCAAGAGACACTGTTTTGATGGGTATTTTTTTTAAATGTCCCACGAAGGTGTTGGTAAACTTTTTGTTGCAAATGTATTCCTAGTATGTGATTTACTTTATTTTTTTGTTTATATTGTATAGAAGATTAAACCTATAATTAATTGATTTGTGATTTCTCCCATTCTTTTTAAACTTAGAAATATTATGTGGTCACTTAATATTGTCTGCTTGGTACCTGATTTTTATCATTCAAATTTTGCTTTTACTGACCGTTTAGGCAGGAGCTTCCTGGAGTGGAAGTTTCCCCATGGGTCAGTGGGATGATTCTCAGGTGTAGAGGTCCTCTGACCCAGTCAGTGTACAGGGAACCGTTTCGCGTGGCGTGGGGATGTAGCTCAGCCCCCCCTCGGAAAGGCCAGTGGGGAGCAAATCAGCCCGTAGGAGCCACACCCACGGATAGGTTCTCCTGTGGGGAATCAGGCCTGCATTGTACCTAGGCTGCTATGAGACTCGCTTTTGCTGAAACTCCCTCGCCCTGAATTGAGGCAGCAAGTGCTTACTGTAACTTCCTAAAATCTGAGCTAAACCTCCCAAGTAAGGAGTGTGACCAGTTCAACCACTTTTCTCCTTGGTCTGCAACATCCTTCTCTTTGAAGTAATTAACAGCATTCTTTCCTTAGTTATGTGTAAAAAGTCATCCCCTGCAGTGAACCTGTGCATAGTCAATGAGGACCATCTTTGATGTAATGTGCCCAGAAAGGTGATAAAAGCCTGTCCAGGCAGGGGCGGGGCCCTCTCTCTCACTTAGAGAGCGGCCATGCCGTCCCTTTTTCTCCACGGGACTTGTGTAGTCCGCGTGAATTTGTCCGTAGCCACCACAGCACAGGGATCCCATCGGCCCTGGCCGCATCACCAGTGTATTGCTTTATCCTGAGATGGCCAGATAGATTCAAGAGGTCTGTTAGTAAGCAAACTCACAAGACTAATTTATCAGTTAAAAAATTTGGATCTCAAAATAACCAATATTTGAGGGAGTTACTTGGGAGATTTTCCAGTTGATAAGTCCATGTAAGAATACAAACGTCAGGCCACAGAGTTGCTTGACACACTCTTAGGATGATAGAAATTATAGGAATATTTATATCAAATTAGGGTAACTGGCTAGATTACTCTTTCCTATTTTAGTGGTTTTTAGGCCCCGTTGGGAGTATTCACTCAGGTGTTGCCCAATGAGGAGAGGAGAGAGGAAAGGAGAGAGGTCGTAAAGCTTCCGCAGAATAAATGTTCGCCACAAGTGTTTGGGTCTCCTTCAGTTGTGTTGACATTTCAGCAGGACATCATTAATTCACTTTGGAAGGTGCTATGTTACTTGTCAAATTGATGGTTAGATTCGGTTTTCCCATCTTATCTTTCAGGGAGGAAATAATGCTGGCCATACAGTTGTTGTGGATTCTGTGGAATATGATTTTCATCTTTTACCCAGTGGAATAATTAACCCAAACGTTACTGCCTTCATCGGTAAGTATAGAATGAACGCCTTGGGAATTTCTCCCCCCAGTTGATAAATAGTGTTTGTTTTTCATTGTCAAACTGATTTCATCTCTCACGAACCAAATGATGAATCTTGACCTTCGTACTTCCTGGAACATACCTAACTTTGGCTGTTTCACAGCTCTTTTAGATCTTTTGGCACTAGTACTTGTTGGCATGATTGCTTGGCGTTTATCTGTGCTCATTGGCACTCTTCATTCTGTAAAGACCAATTATATTAGGTCACCAAATCAGCTTTTCAAACAGTATGACGCATGGTAAGAAAAGCAAGTTGATGTTTTATAAATTGATTCTGAACCCTTATAACATGACGCAATCTGATATATTCTAGTTTTTCACTTTTAATCACAACCCAGTAAATTGATTTTATTCCCACTAATAGGGTATGATTCCCAATTTGAAAGACTTTGATCTGGAGTCTACTGTGATCTGGTTTAATTTACCTAAAACTACGCAATGGTTTCATTTTGTTTCAAAGAAATTTTAAATCATGTTCAGTGTAACTGTAGTGTTTTTATGTTCTGTGTATTATGTTCTATTGGGTATTCACATTATACCACTCTTTAAAACTTGGAATCCTTTCTGAGGTAATGATCAATCAGAATATCCTATAAATCAAAGGCCTCCAGTCTTCTACTGATTTAGATAAAGGGGTACTGCAGACAGATGTCTGTATTTTAATATCATTATGTGTGTTTATATTACAAGTACAAGTGTTTAAGGCTGGCATTCATTTGTGTGTTTCCCATTAGGAAATGGTGTGGTAATTCATCTACCCGGATTATTCGAGGAAGCAGAAAAAAATGTTAAAAAAGGAAAAGGTATGAGAGATTGAGTCTGCTTTGTCTCGTAACCAGTTATTATTTTATATTTTGGGTCAAGTTTTATTCGGATCTCATGCCAGCCACTTAACATTTCCGCGTTACACTTTAAACTTGCGGGTTATTGTAGGACGAGTACTTAAATGTCTGTTGTTGAATGTTATTAATTATAATCAGTATTTAAACAAAAGATAAACATAGTATGGTCATTGTTTAAGTCTTGTTTATTTTACACATGGGTCATCTCTAAACTTTAATGAGTTAAAATTACTTACAAGAGCTCTAGGAAACTGATGAGTTAGTTCATCTGGTCACTGGTACTCCAGTTAGCATGCCCTCTGCCACACCGAACATTGGCTTGGCGTTGGCAGGACACAGCAGAAGCCTGTCCTGCACGCTGTCCTCTCGCTTCCTGAGGACCCAGAGACCCCGTGGCCGCTCCGGCCCCAAGGGTTAGAAGAAGCCTGTTCAGGCCTCTCCCTCCATGTGGGAGACACGCTTCTTTCAGTGCTATGTATCCTTTCAGCTCCTTTAGAAGACATCTCGATTTCCTGCCTTTCCTAATCTCATTTGGATTTTTGGAAGTCTGTTACATTCAGTTTGGCTGCCTTGCTGGGATTTGGGGAATTCAGCAATGCAAATAATACACAATTGAAGGAAATCATTAGTGCAGTTTCCCCTTAGTGTTTACCTTGAATTTAAAATAATGCTATTATTACATTATTCAAGTTTCTTGTTCAGATTCAAAGGTAGCAATGTGCCCTCAGGTGTTTCTGACAACCAACCACCAGAGAGCCCTGTCTCGCCGCCTTCCCCGGTGTCCTCCCCGCAGTCTAACCCAGGCGTTGGTGTCTGCCTTCTCCATCGGCCAGCTGGAGGTTCCCAGCTGCCCTCTGCTTTCCCTCACCCCCTCTGAAAACTTTGTCCCGCTTTCTTGTTCTTTCTGGCCTGTTGAGTTACGCTGAATCCACCCGACTGCGTTTCTTTGTGATGTTTTCTTTATAACGTTCCCCTAAGCTAACTTCAGAGTACGTACTTAGGTGTCATAACAGCTCTGGAGGGAGAGGCTTACTATTGCTGTTGATCTTCCAGCGCATTACGGAGGAGGTCCTCCTCTCTGCTCTATGAGGAGTGATTTTAAAGTGAATCTTTGGACATTATCCAAATTAACAACTAATTTTTAATATCTCATGTTAGTTTTGAAAATGTTTGGAGCTTGGTGGCTTGTCCTTAGAAGGAATACATATAGCCTGTGAAGGTGTACTGTCTCTAAAAAATATGTTCCTTTAGCTTCATTTATCTAGTCATCATTCAGCAGTTTGTTTGAACATTTACTGGCTGACTGGCCCAAGCAGTGAAACCTCCTGGCTCTCGGGCATCCCCAGTATGTCTGTGTGTGTGTGTGTGTGTGTGCACACACACACACACACACACATACATACACCTACTCTTCCCTGAACTCCCAACAAATATGTTATTTTCTTACCACTTGCCTTTTGGGTTTCTAGAAGTATCCTTTGTTAGATATGTATAGTTGGGAGATTTTCAGAGCAAAACATTTAGAAAGAATGTGTGAGTGCGTTTGTATGTATAATGAATGGCAAGTGAGAAAATTCTTGTTAAACTTGTTCCTGTGAAGAAGAAAAGCTATGAAAATGATTACTTTGGTGAAAAACACTTTTAAACATTGTATTATTAAAGAAATTAAGGTGAAAGAATTGTTATACCAAATGTTCAATTAAATGTATTTTCCCCCCTTTTCTGTAGGTCTGGAAGGCTGGGAAAAAAGGCTTATCATTTCTGACAGGGCTCATATTGGTAAGCGGACCTGATGCATTTGTTTCTAACTGTCTTTTTACCAGCAACTTATCACCAGAAAGCATTCTGTTTCCAGTTTTGTCTTAATTTTAGTGAAAACAGTGTAGGGTGGCTTATATATAATAATTGGGTGCCAAATACATAAAATATTTGTTTCTTTAGATAAGATGATAAAGGCTAGGTTAAAACCAACCTGTTTCTGAAGGAAGAACTAGCTAGTCCCATGAATGAGATGAACGCTGTTTTGTGGGGATCTCTCATCCCACTAACGCATGAGCCGTCCCCAAAGACAGCAGTTTCCCCACGCACTCCCTCACACATGTGCAAGTAGGTCTACCGTCTGGCAGATCTTGAGAGTGAGTCTGTGTCTCAAATGTAATAATACTGCTTTTAAAAGTGATTCAGATGACTAGCCTTTTCCATTATTTAGAGCAAACTGGATTCTAGAATTAATTCAGCCACCACCAACAAACTTGAGGTGTGTTTCCCTGTCACTGTGCTGTCACCAGAGCGACAGAATTGTTTATTAAGAGTGACATGGTTAAGAGACAGTAACCAGGACGGAGGAAGAGCTATGAACCGTGTAAGAAACTTCTATATGAGTGATCGGACTCTTGAATTCTACCTAAATATATATTTCTCCTGAGGCCGTAGCTGCTCTAATTTTAACATTGACCTTCATTGAAGAGGCAGCCCCGTCAAAGTTTTTGTATCAGCCAAGTAAGCAAATTAAAACGCTTTTGGAAGGAAGTTGTAAATCTGTCATTTTCATTGGCTATTTTAAGCTTCTGATTTTAAAAAATACATACTCTCAGTCTGTTGCCTACATAAAGTATATTTTTGGTCTTTAACTTATGTTAGTAATTTCATTTTAAATTTTTATACATAGTCATTATAGTGCTATAATATAGCAAGCAGTGCCGTGTTATTAATATTTTTACATACTGACAACCTCTTAGGTATATAATGAAAAATGTATTTTTGTTCATTACTTTCATAGTATTTTTATCTGCTTACCTTCACTAATTATTAACCTTACATATATCCTGTTACCATGAATATTCTGTACGCGTCTCTAACTCCCGTCCCCCCTCCCCACCCCCCATGGTTTTTACATGCAGTCTCCGGCATTCATGGTCTCTGTTCTGCGCATACAGGAAGGTGCTGTTTAGATGATGAAAGCCACTGCTTGCTTACCTTCAGCACTTGGTCATGGTCCCCTGTCATCTGCTGTGTGAAATTCAGCATCTTAGCCTGACCGCCACAGGTCAGGATTACGCAGTAGGGTAGCACCTCGTGTACACCCTTTGAGCAGCTTGCAGCCTTAACGCGCATGCTCAGACGGCTCCGCTCTGTGCGGACGTGTGAACACACGGTGATGTCAGGCTGGTGGGAAGAGGCAGTGTTCAGAGTGATTCGGGTTCCTGTCCGGACCCTCCACCTTTCTTCTTCATTTCAGACATCTCGGGTCTGTCACGTGACAGTGGGCGTCCTTGGGTATATAGTACAGTGGTTAAGCGAGCTACTCAACTACTTTAGGCTACAAAAACCAAAGGAAATTCTACCGCGAAGGGACCAAAGGACCAGTCTAACTGGAAAGCAGTGTGGTTTAAATCACAGCAAATATGAATTTGTCTTATAATTTTATTATGCTTCTTTAATAATGATTTTTCCTCTTTCATACATTTATGCCCTTAAAGGAAGGTTTTTTGGGTAGAGGAGACAGAGTCCAGAAAGGAAAGCTCAAAGCTGTTAGCAGTGATAACACAGGGGTGCGGCAAAAGTAGGTTTACAGTTGTTTGTACAGAAAATAATACAATAATATATAATAACACAAGGATAAACTGTTTCGCGTACTCACAACTGTAAACCTACTTTTGCCGAACCCATATATGTTTGCTTTAAAATGTGTTATTAACATATCTATAAGAAACATGTATTTTTAGTACCATCAATTGTAAAATGAGGAAAAGAAGCAAATAGAGACATTTTAAACAAACGGACTGGAAGCTTGCTGAGAATCGTCACTGTGAAAACCCTTAAAATCTTCAGAGACTCTCTTCCCACAGGACTGAAAAGACAGTTCTGTAAGCTCCATTGTCATTATGGCATTAGAACCCTCATCTCAGAACTAAGTACAAGACCTAACTGGTACATAGATGCTTAAAAATACTAATTGATTCCTTTCCAAGGATTTTTACAATTTCCCATAAAGGCATGCACTTCCGTCAGCACAGTATGATGGCTGTGCCGTATGGATTATAGAACAATAGAGCCACGCATAGGCTTCTGAATTTGGGGGACCTGGGCCCAAGGGTTAGTTGTGTGGCCTCTGGTGAGTGATCTCTTAGGCGACAGTCCCGCATTGGTGAAACAGGCACTTCACACACGGCTGTGCCTATGGGAGTGAGAATTTTATCTGTTTTATTTCCTTAACTTCCTGGCACCTCGCTCAGGTGTTCTTCCCCACTTGGCCACGATTCACTATTCGCTCATCCTGAAGGGTATTGGTCTGCAGTTTTCCTTCACTTTAGTGCCTCGTTCTTCAGTTTTGGTGACTTCATTTTTCTGAGAGGGTACGTGTTGGATCAGTATTATTTCTTCTGCAAATGTTGCATGGAATCTTTGTGGGGATGTTCGCAGAGATTCAGGTTTTTCTGTTTCTTCCAAAATTCATAAAATAAAGTTATTTATTCAGTAAGTTATGTTTTTTAAGGATTATATTCATTTTGTTCAACTTCTCAGATTGTTGGTGTAAGGATTGTAATATCTGGATATTATCTTTCCAATTTCTGTGCAGTTTGCAGCGATGGCCTGTCTTTTGTACCTGGCATTGGTGATTTGTACCTTGTTTTCTCTTGCTCAGTCTAACTGGAGCTTTATCTATTTTATTGATTTGTGTGTTTTACTCCCAAAGACTAAGCATTTGATTTTGTTGGTTTTTCTCTATTTGTTTGTTGTCCTTTTTATTGCTTTTAGCTCCTTGTTGTTTCACTTTTTTACTTTCTTTGGTTTTAATTCGCTCTTTCCCTAACCTCTCTAACACTACCTCAGCTACATTCTGCAGATACTGACATTTTATACGCTTATTTCCATTCAGTTGAAGTTACTTCATAATTTTTTGTGTGTGATTTAAAAAAAAATTAAATTTGGCCCATGAGTTACTGAGACATGATGTTTACATTGTCTGGAAAATTTACCCAATTTCTTTCTATTATTTGTTTCTAATTTAATTTTGTTGTGGACAGGGAATATACTTTGTCATCTGTTTAAATTTGTTGGCATTTGTTTTATGGTGCAGCATATGGTCTATTTTGGTTAATGTTCCACATGCACTTAGAATATGTGTTCTGTTATTGTTGAGGAGAGTGTTCCTTATATGCCAGTGACATCAAATTGAATTGTAGTGTCCAAATCTTCTATATCCTGATTTCCTACTTGCTCTGTTACTGAGGGAGAGGTGTGTAGAAACCAACAATAATTGTGGACTTGTCTTTTTCTCTTTTGACTTTGCCAGTTTTTTGCTGTCTGTGCTTGGAAGCTCAGTTAGATGTTTCTATTAAGTTATGTATTTGATGAATTAACCCTTAGTAAAATATCCTCTTTACCTATGGTAACATTCCTTCTTCTGAAGTCTGCTTTGCTATTGCTTAGCCATTAGAGCTTTCTTTTTTTTTCTTCCAGATATAAGAATCTTTTTATTTTTTATTATTATTTTTTTAAATTTTATTTTAATCACTGTTCAAGTTTAATTTTATTTTAGTCATTGTTCAAGCTTTCTTAAGATTAGTATTTACAAGGTGTATCTTTTTATATCCTCTAATAATCTTTAACCTGTCTTTGTCCATATTTATGCCACATTTCTTGTGGACAAAGCATAGTTGGATCTTGCTTTTTATTTATTGTGAAGCTGTGCCTTTTAATTGCAGTGTTTAGCCCCTTTACTCTTAGTGTAGTTGTTATGGTTGAATGTCCGTCTGTTCTGTTTGCTATTTGTTCCACCTGCTCTTTGTCTTTTTTCTTCTCTTCCTGATTTCTTTTACATTTAATATTTTACTTTATATTTTTACAATTCCTTTTTATTTCCTTTTTCTTTTTTAAGGATTTTATTATTATTTTTAGAGGGAGGGGAAGAAGGGGAGTGAAACAATATGTAGTTGCCTCTATCGTGCCCCCTACTGGGGACCTGGCCTGCAACTGAGGCATGTGCCCTGACTGGGAATCGAACTGGCAACCCTTTGGTTTTCTGGCTGGCACTCAATCCACTGAGCCACACCAGCCAGGACTTATTTTTCGATTATAGGTAACATTCCATTAGGTTACTAGCTATACCTCTTATTTTGTGAATTTTGGTAGTTGTTCTAGGATTTATAATGTGTATCTTTAAATTGTCATGGTCTATCTTAAAATAATACAGGCATACCTTGGAGGTGTTACAGGTTCGGTTCCAGACCACTGTAATAAAGCACGTATTACAATAAAGTGAGTCGTAATCTTTGCTGGTGGAGGGTCTTGCCTTCAATTTGTAAAATACGACATCTGTGAAGCTCAGCAAAGCAGAGCGCAGTATCACGCAGTAGGATGTAAAATGTTTAACCTAAGGTCCTTGCAACAAAACGCTTCCATTTCCCTTGCTGTTTCATCCTTTGTGTCCTTTTTGCTGCGCATTTCATGTCTCTATGATGACGAACTCCACAACGCATTGTGAAAAGTTTTGCACTACATAGTCAATTTCCTTTTTAAAAAATTGAAAAATGAGCAAGCTGTTGGTCAGCTCTTTACATTAGTGTGCACAAGTGTGGATGCACAGGACTATCTCATACGTTGTAGTTGTGTCCTGTCCCATGGACTGGCGTGACAACATTGGGGATATACGAGATGCTCATTGAGGGAAAGAGCGCCGAGAAACGGCCACGATCTGACAGCGTTTACTTGAACATTCGCAGTCCAGGGTTGCTGAGCGTCTGTCCTTCTATGCAACAACTCTCTACTGAGTGCCTACTCTGCGCCAGCTATGGTACTGGGCACTGGTGTTTCAGCGATAGGAAAGGCAAATAAAAATCCCTGAGTGAAGCTTATAGTGTAGCAGGGAAGGCAAGATAAAGAGGCAGTCAGTGTATCCTTGCCTACAGAGATAAGTTCTGAGCAGAGAAAGGAGGCAGGCTGTGTCAGGCAGTTTGGAGGAGGTGGGTGGGGCCTCTAGTTGTAGATAAAGTGGCCGAGGAGGTGTCCCACTAGAAGATGACATTGAATTCACAGACCTGAAGGAGGTGAAGGGTAACTAAGCTCTAGAGAGATGGCCATGCAATGTTGAGGCTGTAGATAACAATTCTGTATTGTGACTTAAAAATCTGTTAAGAGGGTGGATCTCATGATATGTGAATACAATGTTTAAAAAAAGGCCCTTGGAGGTCTGAGAAGCAAGCAGAGTGGATTGCACATACGGAGGCTCACCCTGCAACAGCATGCAGCCCAGCGCCAGTAGTGTTAATAAACACTTGGCCAGAGCAATAAAAAAGAAATAATAAGATGGTGTTGATAAGGCTTAACTATTAAAAGTGAACAATTACCTTTAATTTTAAAAATTAGACCAAATCCCCATGGTAGTGTATTTTTGTTTTTAATGTCTAGGCTGCAGAAAGTGGAAGGATATTCAAAGCAACTTCAAACACTGTTCTTTCAGAAACGCTAACAGTGTAGATGTTAGGGCTCCGTGCCACAGTGAAGCATAATTATTCTGATTACCCTAATAGCTTCCTGGGGCCTGGAAAACCTAGGAAAACATTAGCTCTGTGGCGAGGTACTAAATTACTTTCCAAAAAATATGGTTCATCTGCTTTCCATCAGCCACTTATTTGTGGTTTGCCAGCTGCCTTTGTAACTTCTTTGAACACAGAAAATAAAACAAATATTGAAACACAAATGCCCTTTTATTCCAAAGAGATGGCTTACTCTAAGATCTCAATCTTGTCATAAGTCATTTGCAAAGTTCAAGTTTGATGAAACAGCTCTTCAGAACCATTCCGGTCCCTAAAAAGTAGATCAGAAAGGCTGTTGGCTGTGTACCAAAACAGGAACATGGTTGTAAACTAATCCTTGTCATATATGATAGCTGTTTATTGGCCAAGGTCTAGAATCCATATATTAGAGATGAATAAGCATTTTAACGTGCCACATAGTACAGCAAGGTACACAAAAAGATGCACGTATTTTATACCTTTAAACAAAATCCACCTTATTATAGAGTCTTCCTAGTGCCATGAGAAGCTACTCTTTTAAATGAGGTTGTGAAAGACTTACACAACTGAAGTCAATAAGATATTGGTGAAGGAAATGAAAGAAAACACAAATAAATGGAAAGTATTCTGTGCTTATTGATTGGAAGAATCAAAGTTACAATGTCTATGCTGTGAATGCAATCTCTATCAATATTCCAGTGGCATTTTTTACAGAAATAGAACAATCTTAAAATTTGTATGGAATCACACAAGACTTTGAATATGCAAAGGAATCTTGAGATAGAGAACAAAGCTGGAGCCATTATGGTCCCTGATCTCAAATGGAAACAAAGCTTTGGTAATCAAAACAGTATGGTGTTCACCAATAAGAATGAAATAGAGAGCTTTGAAGTAAACCCACACACATAGTCGATTTATGACAGAGGAGCCAAGACTATACGTGGGGAAGGAATCGTCTGTTCAAAAAATGATGTTGAGAAAACTGGACAGCCACGTGCAAGGAATGAAACTGAACCACTGTCTTATAGCAGACACCAAAATTAACTCAATGAGATTAAAGACCTGAACATAAGACCTGAAACCATAAAACTCCTAGAAGAAAGCGTAGGCAGTGAGCTCCTTGAGATCTGTCTTGGAGCTTGAGTTAGTCAGGACGGTTTTTAGGTCAGGTGTCCCAGAATTGTTCCCGTTTTGCCATCTGTAACTACTAGGCTTCCGATATTTCTAAACTGGTAGCTCCTTCACAGATGCCACCACTGGTTCCAGGAGCCTTCCAGCAATTGGTGTGTTTAATGTTCACAAATTCCAGCTTGCTTATTTGGAGGCAAGAATCATCAGTGAAAAGAAGCCATGGTTAAATACACTAAAAATGGTTGAATTGCACACTTTATGTTTTGTTTTGTACATTTTTTTATTAGAGTACAGTTAACATACAATATTATATTGTTTCATTGTACTCATAGTGATTCAACATCTATATAACTTACAGAGTGGCCATCATGGCAATGAAAGTAAACTTATGTCACCATACAGTTATTTCAATATTATGGACTATATTCCCTGTGCTGTACATTACATCTCCATGACTTGACTTGTTTTATAACTGGAAAGTTGTACCTCTTAATCTCCTTCACCTTCTCACCCCTCCCCTGTGGCCTCATCAGTGTGGTCTCTGTATATATAAACCTGTCTCTGTTTTCTTTGGCTTGCTTGCCTGCTTTGACCTTCGGATTCCACAGATAAATGCCACCATATGGCATTTGTCTTACTCCGACTTACTTACTTCACTTAGAATAGATGCCCTCTAGGTCCATTCATGTTGTCACAGATGGTAAGATTTTATTCTTTTTTATGGCTGAGTAATATTCCATTGTGTATATGTACCACCTCTTCTCTAGCCATTCATCTGTCGATAGTTACCTAGGTTGCTTCTGTGTCTTGGCTGTTGTAAATAATGCTGCCTAGGGGTGCATATATCATTTTAAATAAGTGTTTTTGATTTTTTTTTTTTGATAAATGCCCAGAAATAGAATTTCTGGGTCATGTGGTAGTTCTATTTTTAATTTCTTGAGGAACTTTTGGACTCTTTCCCGTAATAGCGGCACCAGTTCACATCCCCTCCAACAGGGCAGAAGGGTTTCCCATTCTCCACACCCCTGCAGCCTCGTTATTTGTCGTCTTTCTGGTAACAGCTGTTAGGACAGGTGTGAAGTGATATCTCTTTGTGGTTTTGATTTGCATTTCTCTGGTGATTACTGATGTTAAACGTCTTTTCGTGTCTGTTGGATCGTCTGTATGTCTTCTGTAGAGAAATGTCTGTTCAGGTCTCCTGCCCATTTTTAAATTAGATTGTTTGTTTTTCTGATGTTGAGTTGTGTGAGTTCTTTGCATATTTTGGATAGTAATCCTTTATCAGAGACATCATTTCTTTTCAGCAGTAGAAAGCCCCACTGAGTTTTTAAGGCAAAGGGTGGCACGATATTTGTGTCTCAGAAAGGTGGCTTTGGCTACATTAGGAATTACGGATCAGAGGTGTCAGGAGTGCAGACAGGCACACGCATCAGGGGGCTGCGGTGGCGGTGGAAGATGATGGGTGCTGGGGACTAGGGAGGAAGGGGATGATGGATGGCAGAATACTCCCTAGGTTTCTGGAGTCCCAAACTGGAAGAAAAGCAGGTATCTTAGTCAACAGAGCTTTATAGAAGTGTTGGGCAGGGTGGTCCAAAATTACCCTCTTAGTGACTCATTGAAAAAAAAAAAAAAAGTACCCTGGCTGGTGTAGCTCAGTGGGTTGAGTGCAGGCTGCGAACCGAAGTGTCGCAGGTTCGATTCCCAGCCAGGGCACATGTCTGGGTTGCAGGCCAGGTCCCTAGTGGTGGCCATGTGAGAGGCAACCACACATGATGTTTCTCTTCCTCTCTTTCTCTTTCCTTTCCCCTCTCCCTAAAAACAAACAAACAAATAAATAAATAAATATAAATAAATATATATATTATATATATAATATAATATATTATATATATTATATATAATATAATTGATTGATTCAAATTGATTGAATATGATTGATTCTAGAGAGAGAAGAGGGGGAGACAGAGAGAGAAACATTGATTAGTTGCCTCGCACATGCGCCCCAACTGGGGACCGAACCTATAACCTAGGCTTGTGCCCTGAGCAGAAATCAAACCCACAACCTTTCCTTGCACAGGACAACACTCCAACCATCTGAGCTGCACTGGCAGGGCTTAATGACTCAGTTTTGAAATAACATAGGTTGCGATAACTAGGAATGAACAATTGGGCATATTTTTACTTGAATATACCTGTTGGTATTGTAACCTTCACTCCCACCATTGCTGTCGCTTCTAAAAAGGTGTCTAATTTGTCATATGAAGTTAGTCTGAAGGGATTTAAAACTTCAGTAATTTAAAATACGAGATTTTATCTTTCCTACGTTGTCTTTGTTTGAACAAATACTGTGATTTTTTGTCTGTTTCCCTGCAGTATTCGATTTCCATCAAGCGGCTGATGGCATCCAGGAACAGCAGAGACAAGAGCAAGCAGGAAAGAAGTACGTGTTCTTTTCTTTGTTTTTTGTTTTCGGTGCCAGTGAAACATATCTAGACTCTAATGCTGAAATTCCAGGCCAGGGGTTGAAGAAAAATGAGTATTAAACTGTCTAGTTTAGATTTCAGAGAAAGTCCATAGGATTAGGAAAAGAAGCTTACAGGAAACAGCATGAACAGAAAATCAGTCTGACTACAAGAATGGCATCTTTCCTGTCTAATTTAAAGCTTTTTTGATTTATGTTTAAGCTTGGGGACCACGAAAAAGGGCATCGGTCCGGTTTACTCTTCCAAAGCTGCTCGGAGCGGGCTCAGGATGTGCGACCTCGTTTCGGATTTCGATGGCTTCTCGGAGAGGTAACTGGCTTGCGTTTCACGATGGAAAGAGCAAATGGAATTGTATAATTTTTCAAACTCAGATTGCAGCCTGGGAAAGTCAGTATTCTAGTTGATTAGTGGTAGTCGGCATTTTTGTTTTATGTGGCATATTAAAGTTCCTTTTATTTTATTTCAATGGAGCCTTAATTTCAGGTTAACTTTTTTTTTTAAAGATTTTATTCATTTATTTTTAGAGAGGGAAGGGAGGGAGAAAGAGAGAGAGAGAAACATCAATGTGCGGTTGCTGGGGGCCGTGGCCTGCAATCCAGGCATGTGCCCTGACTGGGAATTGAACCTGCGACACTTTGGTTTGCAGTCAGGTTAACTTAATGAAAAGTAAAATGATGACATCATAGCAGTGCCCCCCAACGAGGCCAAACCAAATTATGTTTGAGGATTGCGGTGGTCTGCTCAGAAGCAGAGATGTGTCCGTGGGAGGGGGTGGCATTGCTTTGGTGGGGCCGGTGTGGTCACCACGCCCCGGAGTCTTGATTGCCAGGTTTTCAGGTCCACTGCTCCGTGTCCTCTCATCTCGCAGGTGCTAGGGAACTGCCGTGTACCGAGCTCACCTTGCAAAACAGAAATGACACATCGACACTGACCCTTTGTAGAAAAATCTCCCAGGGGAACCTAATAATCACCAGAGAGCTGTAGGGTGACTCAGTGATTGTGTTTAATGACAGCTGCCATCAGGTGTTCTCTCCGTTCTGGGATTCAATGATTTGTTCCATCCATTTTCGGACGACAGTTGGTCCAGTTGGTCCGACCCACCAGAGTGCCTGCGCTGGGAATGGTAGAGACCGATGGCTGTCATGGGCCTCCGTCTCTCTCGAAACCATTGTGTAGACCTTCCCTTTGTTTTATGCTCGGTATGATACAACTAATTCAGATGTAAGTCTTGTGGTTACAGATTTCAGTTATTCACCCCCCCGCGCAGACACACACAGAACCTTAATTATATTGTTGATATTCTTTAACTGGAGCAGAAAGTACTTTGAATATAACATTTATTCATATGACTAGTCTTTATTCGACATTAGTTTTCAGGATGTAACTTCAGTTTGGGAGTTAATTTCACAGAGCACTTATCTACCAAAGCCATGCGAATCAAATAATATTATTCAGAATATTTTAAAGACAGCTAATGTTGCGATTTATCCATATTTCTCAGAGTTGATGTCTTGATTTTTCTGTATTTCTCAGGTTCAAAGTTCTGGCAAACCAGTACAAATCTATATACCCCACTTTGGAAATAGACATTGAGGGTGAATTGCAAAAACTCAAGGTAATGCTCTCTGACCTTTCTCATGTTCTTTTAAAAACTCATTTGCCAACTTGGCATCTGGATCTTGTACTCACTCAGGCTTTGTGTTAGGAACTGAAAATAGAAGAATGAAGAATGTGTGGCGATTTAGAAGTTCTATGTGAAATAGTGTATATTAAGTGCCACCCAGATATGGCAGATAAGAACTGGCAAAGTGAAGTGTCTGCCCTTTTTAACCTAAAAGGACATGGCGTGTTCGAGTGACTTCACACGGCGTGGCTTGAGCAGAACACGGAGCGGGGAGCAGGGAATGGGAGTCAAGTACCTGGAAACAAAGTTAGACAAGTAGGGACCGAATCATAGGCCTTATATTGGTCTTACGTGTCTGCAGCCAAGGACTTAAAAGGGAGTTTTGATCCTGGAGATGAAAAAAAAACTACTGGATAATTCTGAGCTGTTTTTGTATATAAAAATCACTCAGCAATGTGGAAGATAATCAATCAATAAACGGACAAGTGAGAGAGAACTCTGGAAGCCGACCAGCCCGGTTAGGAGGGACACCTCACTGGGTTAATCTCTTAGGAGACAAATAAGGTAGTTGGTCAGAGATTAGGCCCAAGTTGGCAACTCTTAGGTGTCAGTTGTACCTGAGTTGGTTAGTAGTCAAGTCTCCTGTTCATTCCTCCACAGTCTGTGATGAATTTCGAGCTGCTTCCTGTGTATTTGATTGGTAGTCTTTCTCTTTTATAAATACATATAAATATCAGTTCCAGAACTGAATAGAAGTTCACAAACCTCATAGGCCATTCTAAAATAGTTGCAGACCTTAGGTCTGTTCACTTTTAACTAAATTCTTAAAAGAAATGCCCTCCAAGGAACAAGCTAAATTGGATTTCAGTGTATTGATGGTTGCTTAGAATAGATTGCCGTTTTCTTTTCATTCCGTCGTGGCAGCAATTATTTTAATTTTATTATTAGCAACTTGGAAATGCTTATGTACTTAAAGTATGGATATGGCTTTTTAGTTCTATTTTGTACATGTTCCTTTTGAATATTAAGTAGATGAATAATAATGAACAGAGTTGGGTAAGAAAATTCTTAATAAGTGAGCCAGGTCTTTAAGGAACAAGGGATGTGATGGTGGGTTGGTCATTTTAGGCATAAAAAAAAGAACTAAAACAGGAATAAGCCTGAGATTGGAGACTAGAGCCCTCTAAGAGGGGACCTCACTTTCATCGGTGGGTAGAACACACTGTGGTGAATTCATGAGTGGAACTTGGAATTTCCATACTGGTCTGGCTAAATATTTAAGCATAATTGAAACTAGGTTTTATTGCACTTAAACTAGAGACACTGGGGCAACTCTTGTTAATACTACATTTTTAATTGAATTCTAAAATTAAGCAGTATCATTAACTTAAATATGTTTCCAGAAAGCTTATAATAATGCTCATGTGTAAACAGTACTGGGTATCGTCTACTAGTAATACCGCTGAGAGGTTTTGCTGTAGTGGGATATAATGGAAGAAGAATCTTAGCGATCAATTATTGATGTATTTGCATGCTCGGCAGTGCCTCTTGTGGCCCTCACCGCATTTTGAGAATCACACTTTGAATGCAAGTTTTACAACTCATGATTACATGGACTATAAATGTAGGTTTTTTAATACTTCACAAAATATAAAATTGTAATGTAATTGTAAAAGAATGGACTCCGTTCTTTTAATTTTCCTGAAAGCTGGTGACGTGTGAGTGCTCGGCCCTTCAGAAGGATGCCACGTTCTGTGCAGCGAGGTTAATAGAGTGCCTTTGAATCCATTGTATCTCTACTTTTCTCGAGCTGGTGTCTCTTCCCTGGTTCTGGAGAATCAGCCTGATTCTCCACAAGGTGATCACGGTGTCGCAGTCAGGCGCGAACATCACCTACCCCTTTCTGCTTTGTGTTTGTCGGTTTCCGCCGACCTCGAGTCAGGTCATTTTGACCATACTGGTTATATTGTAGTATTGGTATGCACTCACATTGGTCTCTGACTTTGTCCACAGGGTTACATGGAAAGGGTTAAACCCATGGTGAAAGATGGAGTCTACTTCCTGTACGAGGCCCTACATGGACCACCAAAGAAGATCTTAGTAGAAGGTGCGAATGCGGCCCTCCTAGATATTGATTTCGGTAAGTGGGATGTGACTGATGGGGAGCTTGACTGAGCCCGGCAGTACTTAAGACATAAATAGTTAATGTTGGCATCGAGGAGTTTTAAAACAAGGCTTTTAGCTTGTGTACGTATTCAGGAGTGGTGGGAGATTGTCATCCTATACTCACCTGTCTTTTGAAGGAGTACTGTGGAAGACACAATGCATACGTTAGGTTTTGTTGCTCGTTAGAAAAGTCAAATTGCTATCTGGGTGAGTGGGTTTGAAATACTGTAAACTGTGATTTGTATTGTTATTAAACATGTGTATTCTAGGATCTGTGGAAGTCTGTTTAATTAAGTCCTTGGGTGAGAAATTCTGAGTGGACTCAGAGCATTGTCTCCATCTTGAAACAGTTAACGCTTAGTGTCTTCAAACTATTGCCCCATTGGTTTGTTGGCCTTTCCATCTAAACATGATCGCTCAGGATAAGTGTTGGAAACTGCCCTGCCTGGTTTCAGAAGCTGTAACCCCCCATGGCTAAGGCTGAGTGAGAGACCTTGGGACCCTAAGCCACTAAGGAGACAAAGCTTATCCCCCTGGCAAGAGCATCACCTCTACCCACTTTACTTCACCCTGCCTGGCTCCTAGGGCATGACCAGTTAGCCAATGACGGGTAAGATTCCTCATTGGACGGACAACCTAAGACAGACATGGTCACAAGGGCGCCCGCAGGGAAGGACTTAGGGGGCTATAGAGAAAGGGGGTGATGTACTTTCGCCCCTCAGCTTTGGCATAGCCTAAGTCCTCATTCTGTCTGCAAGAAGTCTCCTAATCTCTTGGCTGTCTTACTTCCCCTGCCTGACTTAAGCCTGAAACAATGCTGGAGGTAGGTGGGCCCTATGCTAGAAAGGGCGGGTTCCCCAGGGCGATCAGGCCTAAGAAACAATGCATAAGATCCTGTGAAACCTGTTTTGCTAATACCCTCAGTTAAAATGATAAGGGTCAGAGCCTGAAATGAGTTTGTTTCCTCAAAGTTTTATGGCCCTTTAGCTATCTGACCCTGACTCAGCATAAACTCTCTTAGTTCTTTGAATGTTATCTATTTGATCACTACTGCCTGACAAGGATTGATGAGCTTTCCATATACACCCTATATTCCTATGTGAGTTAAAGCCAATAAAAGCCTGTCAGGGCGAGGGTCAGCCCGTGTGCTCCCCTCTAAAGAGAGTGGCCAGGCCGCTCCGAGGTGCTTTCCCCTTGAGAGAGTGGCCGTGCAGCCCCTTTTCCCCACAGGACTCACTAGTCTGTGTGAGTTTGTCTCCTCTCAGCCACAATGCCGTGGACACGTCAAGTGTGATGGTTTTCAGCTCTTATAGACATATCATTGGCTTCTCACTCCAAGTAAACCAATTAAAGAAAGTGTATATCTAGTAGTAAATATGTATTTTTGATACTGTAAGATGCCTTTCCAGTTTGGAAAGAAAGCAAAGTATCTAGTGAATAATTTTAAGTATGAGCAGGATCTTGGGGGGTGGGTATACCCCTCTTAGCTTACCCTTGTCACTTCTGCAACTATTCCCTGAATAGACATCAAAAGGTAGGAGAATGCTAAAATACTACAAAAATTTTAGCAGACTGTCATCACTGCAGGTTGCTGCTGTACCTTATTTGTATCCAGGAAGTAAAATAAATTTGTTTTAAGCTAACAGGGGAGTGTTAAAATACATAGATTTCAAGTCTACACAGGTGGAGTGACCCCAGGTGTTGGCATTATATTGTTTAACAGCCCGCCTGTTAGGCGAGTCCCCGCCGTGCAGGGCTGAGTCACCGGGCGTGCACCCAAGGGGCCTCTCCCCTGTCAGCGCCGCAGGCACAGCTCTGACCCCTGTGTCTTCACCTCATTACAAACCAAAAGCAGCCAGAGCAAAACACGGTGGTCACAGTTAGAGTCAAGGCTGTCTGATACCTAGAATATATTCAAATGCAGGCTTTCCTTAGTAATCCTCTTTTGCAATAATGTCTTTCTCTGTGTGTATATTTAATATTTGTTTCCGTTTGCAGGAACTTACCCTTTTGTAACCTCCTCTAACTGTACGGTGGGAGGCGTCTGCACGGGGTTGGGCATGCCCCCCCAGAATGTCGGAGAAGTGTACGGAGTTGTGAAAGCCTACACAACCAGAGTTGGCATCGGTGCCTTCCCCACGGAGCAAGACAACGTAAGCCTCTGTCTCAGTAAACCCGATTCAAGCGGTTTAATATAAAACTAGTGCTTTTTTTCCCTTAATGAATTCTTATCTTCCATTTATTGCACTTAATTTGCAAGACCAGTTAGAGCGACCTTTGAAAAAATGCGCGCACACCTTTATCACTAGTGGTAGCAGAGTGGCAACAAGACAAGGGGTTCGAGGGTGCTTAAAGGTCCTTGGCATGCAAGGCTGAGGAGGGTGTATTTATGAAGGGGACTGAGAGGGCAGAGGAAGGGGGTAAAAAACGACAACTTCCTCTAGCCTCTAGCCCGGAGCTTAGTAGGAGACCAGGGTGAGTGGGGAAAGTGATCTCTGACTCGTCCACGGTGACCGGGCCCAGGCGCTGTTCAGGTGCCGTTTACCTGGAAGCTCTGTGGGGCCTCGCCGCAGCTCAGGGAGCTGGGTGGTGCCACTGTCCCCGTTGTACCCGAGAGGCCGGGAGAGCGGGAGTAACCTGCCCCGGGCCACACAGGTGGGGCTGGGAACCCAACAAGGCAGAGTGAACTTTTAAAAACATATGTCACTGTAATAATGTCGAATTATGAGGTAAGGAAATGCTGGCTTTAATCAGAAAGGTGTAAAGTATGGAAGAGATAGCGCATAGGTGGGAAAATTAGGTTGTAGGAAGTGGCTGCGGCTGAGACTGTTGAACAGTGTTTTCCACCCTAATTCTTTTCAGACGGGCGTTGTGATATCAATAAGTAGTTACCAGATGCAAGTTTGCATGATGGTTTTCAGGAAATTATCAAACTACAGTTATTCTTAGAGCAATTGGCTTAAGTTGTCTGTTTTAATAAATACTAACTACTTAGTTTTTAATATGCAGCATTTATATTTTTTTGTACATTCATCTAAATTTCAGGAAGTGATCTATATGACATCATTAAAAATATTGGTTTTAAAGTACGGTAAAAATGAAACCGAAGGTGGATCTATTCCAAATAATGCCCCCCTCACATAAAATCCATCCTCTCTATGGAAATCTATCTTCTACTTAGTTACTTCCCGAAAGACATTTACCTCACAGGGACTCTGACTCGTTACCTGATCTTAAGTATGATTCTACTCGATTGGCAGCATTGGTATTCCGATGCTAAAAGTTCTGTTTTCTGGCCCCCAGGAGATCGGAGAGTTACTGCAAACAAGGGGTCGGGAGTTTGGTGTAACTACTGGAAGGAAAAGAAGGTGTGGCTGGTTGGACCTCGTTTTGCTTAAATACGCCCACATGATTAATGGATTCACTGCGTGAGTATTCCCAGAAACGTTTATTTCAGGAAATTACGGGACAGTTCGTGACCACAGGTTACATTCTGTGAAATGCAGACTTGATGTAGTCCACCAATAGAAAGATTTTTCTCTTTAACCTCGGAATGAAATTTTAGTTCAGGGTAGAAGTGGACCAAGATGTAGGAGAAAGGACACAGGGAGAGGGGGCCCGGGTTACCCTCCTAGACATTCAGGGCTGGAAGGAAGGACTGCTGGTACTCTCGTGTGTGTGTGAGTGTAGAGGGGAGTGAAGACGGTAGGTAGGTAACTATAGGTGGATGATAGGTAGGCAGGTAGGTAGGTAGATGGAGCAAAGGTAGAGTCCGTGCACAGAGCGAGGGCCGTGTAGCTGATTCAGGGCTGGCCTGGACTGCTGTCTGACTGCTGGGTGACCACCTCGGATCTGTGCATTGTGCTCTGTGACTTTGGGCAAGTTCATCTTTCTGTGCCTTTTTTAAAATCACCCTCTAGATACTATTCTTACCTGCTTCAAAGGGGAGTTCTGAAAATCAGGTGAGAAATGTGCTGAGAGCGTATGGCAGACTGCCTGACTCACCGAAAATGCTCAGTGAATATCTCACACACACACACACACACACACACACACACACACACACACGTGAATGCATGTATCTGTGCCTGGGTTTATTAGGCTCAACCTCTAGCAAAGAACAGAATGAAGGATAGAAAAAGAATGTGTGGACGAGAATCCCAAACTAGTATTGTGTCTAACTTCCACAGATTTTCCTTAAAGCTCTGTTTTCTGGTCATTTTACTGGGGGGTTTCAATGTGCCACGAAGAGGTCCGGGGTGTGTGTGTGTTCTTCCCTCTCCTGTGACCTTTTCTGACCAGAAGGGAGGAGGCGACTGGACCCGGGGTGAAGAGGTGAGGGTTGACGCCACGCGTGTAAATGCGCATCCGCCTGTGGTCGCCCCCGTGGGACAGGCAGTCCCGCTGTGTCCCAGGGTCCCAGCCATGTCCCTTACTGCGGGCAGCCCTCCCCCAAGTACGTGCCGATCACAAGGAAGCTAAGCAAGAGGGTGTGGCTCAGTCACTGAAAATCTGTTATCATTTTGGAAAAGAAACTTCCTGTAGAGTCCAGTCATTTTTCACGATGAGGAAGATTCCTCAGTGTATTGTCCCACTGTGGCTTGTCAGCCAGTTCTCAGAACTGCTTCGGACCTTGTGGTTTGTGTGAATTTTCCTTTATTCCCTCGTCAAGTCCGATGTTAGGGCCTTTAACAGTTTGCTGTTTTAACATTGTCTTTTTTTTCTTTTCTTTTCTTTTTTTTTTTCTAAAATTAGGTTGGCACTTACCAAATTGGATATTTTGGACATGTTCACAGAAATCAAAGTCGGAGTCGCTTACAAGTTAGATGGTGAAATTATACCTCATTTCCCAGGTATTTTTTTTAGGATACATATATAAATATTATTAGTGCATATATTACAGCAGTTTCCTAAAGCTCCTCGGTATAATTTATGATAGATAGCCACATGGCTGTTATGCCCTTTGTGAACAGTGCAAGTATATCCACTTAGTACTGGCAGTTCTTTCACGGCTGCAATGCATTTGGGTGCTGGGTTGCAGCATGAAACTCGAAAATGGAAACGAAGAACCGGGGTTCCTCGGAGCCCAGCTCTCTCATCTTCCTCAGTCCACGTAGGCACTCCTCCCTCCCTGGAGAGGGGTGGGGTGGGAGCCAGAGCCCTGCTTGTCGGGGTAAGCAGGCTCTCAGTACAGGAGCCCACCCTGCCCCCCGAGCCACGTGAATGATTTTCTCCAGACTCTGTTCTGTGTCTCCAGTGGATGGAGGTGGGGAGACTTCCTACTGAGGAAATGTGTTTTATCAGACATATCTTTAGTGAAATGATTTCCTCAGTTACTCGGGGAGTTCTGTAAATGTTTCCAGCATCCAGAAATAGGGACTGTGAACACGTCTAGCCGTTTTACAAGACTATGCCAAGCGAAGGAATGTTGACTGGTTTAATGGAGCTTGGTAGGCTGGTAGGTTCTGTTACTTGCTAATGATGACCGGTCAGTGGAATGGACAATAGATAGCTTCAGGTTCTTAGAAACGCGTAAGGTCATTCATTGCCTGTCCGTCCAGCCTCTGGGCCAGCTCCAGTTTGCTTTCTCTGGGCTGCTCTTCTCCTTGGTTCTGAGTCAGTGTCAGAGTGTCTGATGACTTAGCCTGAGTGTTGCAGAGACTGAGATTCTGTTGCCTTCCTCCGAAGAACACTGGTTCCTGTTTTAGGGGCACTCACGTTACTGGCTGGTCCTCTGGAACTGTGGTACCTTGGTGTGTGCTTTGTTAGCATAGTTACGCGAGGAGCCCAGGGTGTTTTCCACACCGCTCACCTACTGTGAGCCGGTCTCCAGATGCTGTCTTCTCTGTGGGTCTGGGCGGGGATCTGGGCGTGGGGCTCTGCAGGGCGTCTGCAGTGGGTTTCACTCCAGACTGTGGTTTTCACTTTTAGTGAGCGCCTTTCCGGCGGCTCCGCTGCACGTTTGGAGAGTTAATGAGGGGCAAAGAGATCCCCAGTCTGGCAGTGCTGGAGCTGCGGTGCGCCTTGTCCCTTCCCTTCTGCCCGCCCCTCTGGAATCTCTGTCCCTCTTGACTGTGGGGCAGCTGCTATCTGGTGATCCTCCAGTGGTCCCGTTCTTTGCCTGTACAGTTGAAATTTAGCCATGGGACTTTGGCATGGGCTTCTGGGGTGGAGGCGTGGGATCCTCCTCTGTATAGCTCCCTCCTGTCTGACATTAGACCTTGATTCGAGCAGCTTCAGCTTCCCTGAACTATGACACCTGCCTGCTCAGGCCAGTGGGACCACTCTCCTGCTGGCTGCAGTGTCTCGCCAGTGTCTTAACTTCCAGCGGTCGTGACATTGTCCCTGGGCAGAGAGTTGAGTGGTTTTAAGACTTGCTTGTGAACCCGCGGTTCTGTGCTGTCTGTTGCCCATTGCCTGGAAGGAGCTGTCACGCAGTTTGTCCACTCTCACCGTTGATGCTGGGAGTGGGTCTGAGACCGCGTACTCTATCGTGGCTGGACACGGAGCCCCTCTGAGTTTCTGGATTCCTTCTGTCACCCACCTCGAGCGGCTCTGACACATCTCCTTGGCGTGGGTCATCCCTTTCTTGAAGCTTCCAGGAACATTCCTAGTGTGCGTTTGCAGCGTGTTTGTGTCATGAGTCGTGGGAGGGAGGGCACGCCCACAGCAGTGCGCTCTCATGTCCGACCCTGTGCTCCACCACCTGCTGCATCTCACGAGCCGCCCTCCGGCTCCAGCTGCACGCACGCCTCTCGGCTCCGAGTGCTTGTTGTTGGCTCAGTTCTACAGATCCTTTCCGGATGCAGTCCCTCTCCCCCCTCGGCAGACCCAGCGCTCCCTTGGCCACGTGACGTCGTGCCCCGGCCCTGGGTGTTGTTTGCTGGTCAGGAGGGGAGGCGCAGGTAGGTCCTGTGACTTGCGGGGCAGAGGCCTCCTCCTCCTCCTCACCCTGGAGCAAGGGGAAGCCCGGGCCTTCAGCAGGAAGCGGGGGAGGGTCTGCAGGCCATCAGCAAATCCGAGAACGCGGGAGTTTTCAGTGCAGCAGCTCAGATGGGCCACCCAAAGTCTCAGGGTCCCACTTTTCCCCAGACAGGGCGCTGGCCTTGTCAGAGCAGATTTGCTAGATTTTGAGAATTCAGCTTTTTCTGGAACTCCACTGTCTGTATGGCTGAGCCCGGGCCCGAGCCTCAGCTCTAGGAGATGAGATTCTCTTCGGAAGCTGCTGCCCATGAGGTGCTCATTTCCACACTTGGTGTAAACTGAGTCTCTCGTCACCTTCCTCCGGTTCGAGAACGGCCTTCCCCTCGAGCCCTCTGATCTGCCCGCTGATCCGCCGTTCCCTGTGCTGATCTCCCAGGGCTTCAGATGCTGCCAGCGCTGCACTTGCCACCAGCATGGCATCCCAGGTCCCCTCCCCTGAGGGTTTTAACAGCTGCACAGCTACAACATGCCAAGGCCACCTGTGCTCTGCCTGCCACCCCCGGGGTCCTCACTGCCCACCGGCCGGCCGTGCTCCAGCTGCGTGTAGGGCCTTCTCTCTCGAGCCCCTCCTGGCGCCAGCTGGCTTACGCTGCGTCCCTTGGGAACCAGACTCTGATAGATTTGCCTGCAGGTGGTTTGTTCTGAGTGCTCTGAGCAACAGTGTAAAAAGCAGGATGAGGCCGAGGGAGAAGTTGAAGGGCAAAGTAGTTCTATAAAAAGCCTCAGCTGGTCCCATGGGGCCTCTGGGGCTAGAGTGACCCTTCAGAGTTGTCCCAAATTTAGGCAAGTGGCCTGGTCCCTGATGCCTTCACAGAGACAAGCCACTGGATGTGAGCTGCTCCAGGCAGGCGTCTCCCTTGGGCGGGGGGCACTCCTGGGGACGTTGTAAACTGGGAGTCGTCAGCAGGCCGTACTCCCCCCACTCGGGGGGGGGGGCGCGTGTCTCTGTCCTGGAGGGGGAAATCTGGATATGGTGCGGCCTCCTCCTTCTGGCGCTAGTCACAGGCACTGGTCCGGTTTTCGTGCACTTTCGGTTCCTGTGAGCGGGGGTTGCAGAGAAAGTGGGTGGGTGAGACGCTGGAGGACGTTCCGTGTAAGCTTCCATGCACAGCCACGGAAACCGTAGGCTTTTCCGGTGAGAACAAGTGTGCCAGCTCCCTTTCTGTGAGACTGCTGGCACTGTACAGGCCCAGGGTGCAGGGGTCTAGAAAGCTCCAAGAATCGAAAGTTTTAAGTTTGGCACTGAAACTCATTTGACAGCAAAACCTGACTTGACCTGGTGTTGAAGCTAATACTCTACCTGCTCACAGTGAATAATCCTGTGTTGCTGTGGAAATCTGTTTGATTATAAAATACTACCTCAAATGCACTGTTTTAGCTTGCGAAGCTCTGAAAACTTCTGAATTCCAAAACGCATCTGGCTTCAAAGGTTTCTCTAAGAGATTGTGCACCTATGACGTTTTCAAAAATTGTTTGACGATGGGCAGTATACACTATGGCCAGATAAGCTTATTTTTTAATTTTCAGCAAACCAAGAAGTCTTAAATAAAGTTGAAGTTCAGTATAAGACTCTTCCAGGATGGAACACAGACATATCAAATGCAAGGACGTTTCAAGAACTACCTGTTAATGCACAAAATTATGTTCGATTTATTGAAGATGAGCTTCAAACTCCAGGTAAATATAAACACTTCATGAACAACTCGCTTAACTTTTTCTACTTTGGACTTCACCGTCTACCTTTGAAATAAGATGAAAGATTATTATTCATAGAGTGCTTCTGATTTGCTGGGATGCCCAGGTAGACATAAAGCAATTTTACTGCTTAGAGTAAATATAATCATCTTTCTTTAACCCTTCCTGTGCCTGAAGACAGTGGATTACTTCACTGGTTTGGCCTTTCCGTCAGCCTGTTTTTCACCCTATGCCACCGATTCTTGATTCTTCCTCCCCCTCAATAACCAGCCCTTTTGTATGTCCATCACCACCAAAGCTGGTTTGTTGTTTTTCATCTGGGGTTCAACCACCCTTGAGCACTGGGGGAGTTTCAGACGTTAGGAAATAATAGGTGCAGAAAATAGGAAATCTGGTTTGGAAAAACATGAGAATAAAGGATAAAACTTCTGTATGAAAACACAAACGTCAGCCAGCCAGGGAATTAGGTATAGCCAAGTTATGGCTTAACCAGTTATGTGAAGTGTTTCTTCTAACTCTTTGCCTTTTCTGTTTGCACTGGTGGAGATTCAAGAGACAGAAAGTGAGGTGGGTGGGGGGTATCCTCCATATAATCTCTTATTTTTCCAAATTTGTGTTGTATCTCATTTTTATTTGTGGTTCATCTCAAACATGAATGTTGGTTTCCACGTTGCCAGCTGCCCCTCCTAGCTTGATGTCAGATTCGGTGAGCTCACTCCTCATAGTCAGTTGTTTTTGAGTAGAAACAACAGTGAACCTGACAGTGATGTCTGTGAAATACCATGAGATTTACCCACGAGGTGCGGATGATGAGAGATGTGATGTCCACGGGCTGGTACAGTGGGCAGTTCCTAAGGCTGTGCAGGTCAAACGGTACTCTCGTCCAGATGGGTCTGCTTTCATGAGACATAAAAGTTACAGGGAGACCAGTGTCCTTCCTCTTAGCATCATCCCTTCATCAGGGGTGCTTCTCTTGTCTCGTTATTTAGGAAGCCGATCAAAGGTTCTTTAGGTCTCTGCTGGCTTGGGCCAGGTTTTTTCCCCAACCATCAGGAATCGAGGAACTGTAACTCTCACGCCGTGAAAACAGGAATCAGTAAGGCACACCACAATTGTGCACATTCCAGTGCCTTAGAAATTGGCACAGTCTGCTGACAGAATAGGACAAAAGGCACAACCAGCTAATTGGAGTTCATTGGAGACAGTGAGGAAAGTGGGGGATCTGTTCATTTCAAAGAGTGAACCCTATAAATGAATTAATACTTTCTTCTCCTTTTTCTCTTCGCCTCCCAGTTAAGTGGATTGGTGTAGGGAAATCCCGAGAGTCTATGATTCAACTCTTCTAAGGATCTCCAGGGATGCAAGAAACACTCCTCGAAAGGGGGAAAGGACTTTCTTAAATGTGTCATTGATGTTCTCCAACTTTCAAGAAGGCAGACATTGCCGGGAGCTGTGAGCCCTGCAGCCGTTTCCAGCCTCGGAAGGTGGGTGCGGGGGCGCAGAGGAGCTGCGCATGCTCCAGCGCCGGCCTCCTTGGCCGGAGGCGTCGCCGAGTCCTCTGCCGCTCCTGCTGCTCTTGGTGCCGCGTCTCCATTAATGTTTAGAAATAGAATTTACGTGGTTTGAAATCTAAAATAGAATTGCTTTCAGTGTAGTTTTCCTTCATTCCTGTCGATGTGTGTTCATAGGATTTACCTCTATTAAATGATAAGAACAATGAATGCGGTTTTGCACAAGTATTTTTACATTCTGATCCGTCAGCTCCGTCATTGTAATCTTTGCTGTTAGGAGAAGTGACGCGGGAGGAGTTCTGTAAACTTTTGTACTGCTGTCATTCTGTTTCAGTTGTGAACTGTTTGTTTTCTGCTGAGACCATTGCGAATTTGAGCTTTGGCGGGGGGTGGTGGGGAGGGTATTCATGGATCCTTTAATTTGTACAGAACACGAAACTTATTTCTCTCTATAAATTATTTAATACATTGAACGTTTAGGTAAATGTTCAAAGAAAAAGGTGTTCCCTAAAACAATACTGCTAATGTTAAAAAATTGTCATTAAAAGATCTATTGTGATATTTGGTGGATATTTTTCTTTAACTCTAAAATGTACAGCTTTCCTATTTTGTCTCACCATTATTTCTAAATCCAGTGGATTGGTTTTCCAGCACGGTGCCTGCCAGTATACCTACCAAATCATCTGTAAGTGTGCAAATGGACCCAAATGGTCGGTCATGCCTTTATTTCTCTTTTCTTGGGAAAAAAACAAAGGTGTTATTTTAACAATTAGGCTTAACATAGTGTGTTGTAGATTGCCCTTCAGTGAACTATTTTCAATGTTCAAATTAGGTGCCACTTAAATTTATTTTATTATACCATCAATAGCTGATTAAAAAGAACCAGATATTTCTTGTATACTTTGTGTATTGTGCTTTTGTTTTGCCAAGAGAAATATTAGTATTGCTGATATATAACAGAAAGAACTTTATCCCTGCGGAACGACCAGATGGGGTGGGAAGATCAAAAGCAAAATCTTTGAAAACATCTAAATATCTATTTTTAGTGATATTTAGTTCAAGAAAAAAATATAAAATTAGAGCAGCATTGTTGGATTCAAGAAGCGAAAAGGTTAGGATCTCTACATAAAAAATAATTTATATTTAATATATAAATTTTTATTTATTCCGATGGAAGTTGAATGGGCTTTTATTCTTTTCACTCTTTCATCTTCCTCCTTGGACCTTAAATGAGATTAGCCACCCAGAGGAGAAAGTTCCTGAGAAGTAAGCATATTTAGACCACATTCTTATCTGGATACAAATGAGCATTGCTCTACTGACTTGTTTTTAGCCCTGGTCCAGAAGCGGATACAAAGAACCCATTCTTTGAGCCAGGAGTGCTCCTATTTTTTTCTTTTTTTTTCCAAAAAAGCATAACTCTCCTATTGTGTGATATTCACTCATTTTTTTGTCAGTTTGAGTGATTCCCATTTCTCTTGGTGAGCTGCTTGCTGACTGAATTGGTTGAGAGGATGTTGTTCAGATATAGTTCCGTCTTTAACATAATGGGAACTGTGTTAAAATAATATGTCTTTGTGGAACGAGGACACACAGGAGTCCCCCCTGTGCCCGCAGGGATATGTTCTGGGACCCCCCGTGGGTGCCTGGGACCGCGGATGTAGAACGATCACAACACCACACTGTGGTGATGTGGGTGTGGGCCCTGTGTGTGGTGTGGGTGTGGGCCCTCTCACAGACTGCCTCGCTGTGCTGCCCCCACCTCGCCCCTCCTGTGGCCGTGGGGACGACACAGCCCACGTCCCGGGATGAAGGGAAGCGGGGGACGCTGGACCACGGGCTCGTTGCCGGGATGGAGCGGGGTGGCGTGAGCTTTCACCCTGCTGCTCAGACCGACATGCGATTTAAAACTGACAGACTGTTTACTTGTGAACTTTCCATTTAATATTTTCGTGCCACAGTTGACCGTGGGTGACCGAAACTGCGGAATGCGAAGCCGTGAGCGAGGGAGGCGGTCACTGTAAGCTGGATTCTGCTAGATGTGTGTGGCTGTGACAGGTCCGCAGTCTTCCTGAACCGTACTGCAGAGGAGGCGGCATGGCAAACCTGCACGGATGAGTGATGCGATGTGCTGCAACGGAAAGTACAGGCTGTTACGAGAGCCTCACCCAAATTTGGGGAGGGTCAGAGAAGGCCTTCAGTAGAAAGACATGGAAACAGAATGGAAGGAGCCCTGGCCGGGTAGTTCAGTGGTTTTAGGGTATCCGCCCCCCCATACAGGTTCAATCCCAAGTCAGGGCACACACAAGAATCAAACAATGACTGCATAAATAAATGGAACAACAAATGAGTGTTTCTCTCTCCCTCATCAATAAATAAAAATTAAAAAACAATCAAACCACCAAACAGACCAAGAGGATGAGTAGTCAGAGGGACACTTGGAGAAACTGGGGAGGTTGCAGCAACCGGACCAAGTGAGCGAAGGGCCGGCGGGGCTGCTGTGCGGCAGGAGACCGGAGGCGGCCAGGCCCGTCCCGGGCCAGAGGGGAGGGCCGTGGGCCTAAGGGGAACGCGTGCGTAACGAGAGCATGGGAACCCTGCTGGAGCCAAAGACCTGCGCTCTCACTTTGGAAGCTCTGGATTGCAGGGCCAGAGAGTTCAATGGGGAGCGGGCCTGTTTAGTACAGAAATGTTTTGTTTTGTTTTGTTTTACGTGTTTTTGCACCAGTCTCCCTATAGTCCTGCGCCATATCGCAGTTCCTGTACCCGGAGCACGTCCAGAGTCTCTCTCCTTGGCCACATCCCCAGGTTTTTTTTCCCCCCTCTGAACAGCGGTGCCGTTACCGAGCAGACAATTCTATCCTTACTGCTCCCACGTGTGACCGTTGGACTGACTGCCAGACGGTTTAGCCGCACCAGCAGCGACACTGGGGGTGGGGCTAAGAACAGGTCACAGGGCCTCCTCCTACAGCTGGGCCTGAATCCCCTGCCCTAGGCTGGCCAACTTAATCTGCAAAGGATATGCAACGTATGTAAATATTTTAGGGTGGCAGCTGAATGGATACACACTGAAATTAAAAGCAGTTCTGCCATCATTATTTTAGTCCAAAAGTCACCTAAGGACGCCAGAGGTGCCCCAATGCCACGGTGAGTTTGAAATTCCTCACTCCAGCGCCGTCCCTCTTCACGACAGTAGAACTCCGGCAGCGACTCCACAAGCGGCTGTGGATTCTGCGAAACTGTGGCCAACTTCTGGTCCCAGTCTGGAATTTGGAATGAATGAATGATTTATTTTATGATTACTCCTAAATTTTAACTCACTGACATTTCAACAACAGTTGTGTATGATAACAAAAAATGGGTGGCACTTAAGACTAAGGAATATGTTTTAAAGGCAGGGAAAAAAGAACTTCATCAAAGGGTTACTTAGGTGGCTCGATCTCTGATTCATTTTTTTTTAAAGATTTTATTTATTTACTTTGAGAGGGGAGAAGGGAGGGAGAAAGAGAAATAATGTGTGGTTACCTCTCACATGGCCCCCATGGGGGACTTGTCCCACAACCCAGGCATGTGCCCTGACTGGGAATCGAACCAGTGACCCTTTGGTTTGCAGCCCGCACTCAATCCACTGAGCTACACCAGCCAGGGCTGATTAATTTTTATTGGATTAATGAAAAAATGTAAATAAAATAAATCACATAAATTCTAGACGCCCCCCCCCCAAAAAAACCTCTTTAAGCCTTCCATTATAAATGGGCTACTTTGTATTGTCTTTGTATCAAACTGCAGTTGTTAACATCCTTGAATTCACACCCACTGGAGTTCTCTCATATAACCTCTTGTCTGTAGTCACTAACGGTTCTGCTTATCAAAACTTCAGGGCTCAAGGAGGGCTTGGGGGGAGCTTCGAGATCATTGTACCCACGCTTAATACACCCAAGACCAGAGTGTTTCAATGGCAGCATTGCAACAGAATTTTTTTTTTAAGATTTTATTTATTTATTTTTAGAGAGGGAAGGGAGGGAGGTAGAAACATCAATGTGCGGTTGCTGGGGGTCATGGTCTGCAACCCAGGCATGTACCCTGACTGGGAATTGAACCTACGACACTTTGGTTCGCAGTCTGCGCTCAATCCACTGAGCTACGCCAGCCAGGGCCTGCAACAGAATTTTACATGCACAGCACTGTGCACTGTATTGGATGTTTTGCTTACATTAACTCTGATGTTCTCCGTAACCCTGGGAGGCCCACTGACATCACCACCATCTCAAAGAGATGAATTAAACTGCCCAAATTTACAGGACTGGGAAGAAGAGGGGCCCACATTCGGACCCAGGACTATCAAGGCCCTACATCCCTAATCTTTTCACAGTTCTATTCTCCTCCCATAGCACTTCAAATGCATTTAAAGAAACAAACATTTAATATTAAGAATGGATAACATGCCATTAACATTAACCCAGGGAGCATGACCAGAAATACCGTCCCTGGAGGTTTTTTTTTTTTTTTTTAAGATTTTATTTATTTATTTTTAGAGAGGGAAGGGAGGGAGATAGAGAGAGAGAGAGAGAGAAACATCAATGTGCGGTTGCTGGGGGTTATGGCCTGCAACCCAGGCATGTACCCTGGTTGGGAATCGAACCTGAGGCACTTGGTTCGCAGCCCGCACTCAATCCACTGAGCTACGCCAGCCAGGGACCCCTGGAGGTTTTTTAAAATCTAACTTAAATCGCATGATCCTGTATGTCGTCAGTAACCACACAACTTCTCCAGGCTTGTTTCGGATTTAAATAGTGACTCTGACCCGGAGGATTCCAGAGGATTCCAGGGAAACACATTAAAGTAATTTTGAAGTTTGAGGAGTCCTACCCAACAGCCTCAGTGGTCTTTGTTGTAGGAGTTACAATGGAGCTGAACCACACACATATTTGACCAGGTGAATTCCACCATAAAGGTTCTCAGAACTGAAGACAAACTGGGGGGCGGGGGGCGGTGTTCCTTGGGACATTCCATGTGGTGAGTATTATGTACGCCCACAGACTGGGTGCTATCAGGCCTGGAACACGTTCTAGAGTTGGGGGTTGAAAGAACATGATTTAAAAAAAAATTCTTTACCATTTGACAAAGTGAAATGACCATTCATGGGGATTTGTGGTGGTGACTTCTTTGAAAGTCATTGAAAAATAAAAGGAATTAATTGAGAACCACAAAGTAAATTTAACCCACTTGCTGAAGAAGCCATGTATTTTAAAGATTTTAGTGATTTAGTACCATTTTAATGTTATCACTTTGAACAATTTAGGAGATTTTCAAGGATAACTTTGATTATATGTAATAATTACCTTATGCATTGATTTTAGAACTTAACCCAAGTATAAAATGCAATTCTGTTGTTTTAGGTTTTTAAAAAATATATTTATTATGACACACTCATTCTTGGTCAAGAATAATAGCAAACAGTTTGAAGGCTTTAGTAATCTAAGCTTCAGTAATTCTACATTATGCGAATATCTCAGTTCCAGGAGGCAGATAACTATTTTTATTCTTTTTGCAAGTGAGAAAACCGAATGTCCAAGAGTGTAAGGGTCCCACTGCTACAAACGCATATACTTTATGTTGGAAGAATGAGTTGTCTGGAGTATTTGGCACCAGGGTTAGTAACACACGGGCAGCTTTGTATGAGGGGCTTCTAGGGTGTAAGTTCCCAGGGAACCATCTTCATGTCTTCTGCTGTGTCTCACACACAGTCAGGGCTTAATAAATGCTTCTGAATCAATAAATGAACCTCTAGGTGCTGGGAAGGAATTTTTCCTGAGCAAGAATTTCTAAAGCAATCTATATATAGCTAAGAACTATGAATAGGTTATTATAGTGTATAGATTATAGATAATATCTGTAGATATTATAGATTATTACAATATATATTTAGGTTATATATGTGATATACATGATAATCTATTTAATCTGCTCAATAATTCCCAAATAAGAACTGAACATAAAAAGCAAGTCATTGATAATCTAGACATGCTTTGCCCTTAAACCTGACCACAAAGACTGGTCGAAAACTTACACCTTCACACACTTAGTATGAAAGGCCTTCCCCTAAAGACCCCAAGGAGTCAGCTTCTTGATTTAAGCCAACACTTAATTCAGCCCCTGCCCTTCTCTCCATCCATGCCCTGACTGGTAACATTTCTCTGTTAAGTCTCCTGCAGACCCTGCTGTCACTCCCAGTTGCTGAACTTGGCTGCACGTTGGAATGAATCTGGGGAACTCTAGAAATGACTGATGCCTGCCCTACGCCCCACCTCCTGGCCCAGGAGAGGCTCACTGAGTTGACACTGGGTGTGTCCTGGGCCTGTGGGTTTTTCAAACCGACATAGCGGAGGGTGGGGACCTTTAGCCTAACCACTGCCATCGTCTCCTGACTCAGCATTCGACCATGTCTCGCCCCGCTCCCCTGTGCCTGCTTTTCTTCCCCACAGTTAGAGTGATCTTTTCAAAATGCCCTTTTAATCCTGTCACCCCCCACCCTCCTTAACACCTTTCAGCAGTTTTCCATGAGCCTCAGACTGGAGGCCAAACCTGAAAATGGCCTGTACAGACAGCCCTTGACCTTGCCAGCTCTGGCCACACCCTGCTCCGCCCTTGCTGGTGCCCTGAGCCAGCACGCTCTTATTTATTTTTCAGTTCCTCAAACCTGTCACGCTTTGATCACAGGGCCTGTGCACCTGCTGGCTCTCTGGGAGGCTTCCCCACCCCCACCCTTGCCTAGGCTTCCTTGGGGAAATCCTCCGGCTCTTCCTGGGTCCTGAAGCAACACATCGACTCCCCTTCTGAGCTTTTCCGGCAGGTGAGATTGTATCTCTGCCTGCGTCCCCCTGAAGTGCCCCGAACGGAGACATTTCGTGTCTATTTTTGCTTCACTTTGGGTTGCCAAACCCTTGCACATGGACCGGCCTGTCAGCAGACTTTCATTATTTACAGAAGGACCGCAGATGATGGAATAAAAATGCACTCGATATCAAATCTAGCATTGAGTCCAGCTGCTATCACCTCCAAAATGTCTGGAATCCATTCATTCCTTTGCATTTTCCCTGCGGGGCAGCCCCATCATCTCTTGTCTAAACGAGGAGGAGATGGCCTCCTCAGCGGTGTGGTGCCCACCCTCCTGTGCCTCTCCAAACGGAGTCGGAACCTGCAGCCGGAGGCATCTTGCTCAAGTGCAGATGACGTGTCATTTCTCTGCTCAAAGGCCCTCCCATGGATCTTAGAGTAGAGTCCAGCGTCTTGCCCTCGTACCCTCACTGACCACCCACCAGGCCACCCTGACCTTTCTCTTCCTACACAAGCCAAGCCCTTTTCAGCTGTCAGGCTTCCGCACTTAACTGTTCCCTTTGCCTTTGCATGGTTCATTCTTCTTTTCCGGGGCTCGGCTAAAACCATAAGGACGTTCTCCCGACTGCACTGTTAGTGGCTACCTCCCTGTCCCAGCCTGCGTGGCTCAGTTGGTTGGGTGTCAGCTCACAAAGTGAAAAGGCACCACTTTGATTTCCCTTGGGGACACCCGCCCGGGTTGCGGGCCAGGTCCCTGGTCCCGGGGTGTATGAGAGGGGCTTGTGAGAGAGAGATCAGTGCTCCTCCCTCCCTTCCTCTCTCTCTAAAAATTAATAAATAATATATATATACATTTTAAAAAAGTTTACCTCCCTAAGCCATGCTCATCGCCTTGCTTACTTCCCACACAGCACTACTACAATCTCTAATTTTTTAAAAAGATTTTATTTATTTATCTTTAGAGAGGAAAGGGAAGGAGAAAGAGAGAGAGAAACATCAATGTGCAGTTGCTGGGGGCCGTGGCCTGCAACCCAGGCATGTGCCCTGACTGGGAATTGAACCTGCGACATTTTGGTTCACAGCCCGTGCTCAATCCACTGAGCTGTGCCAGCCAGGATTTACAATCTGTAATTTTTTAAAAAATGCTCTTGGTTCTGTTTAACATCTGCCACCAGAACGCCAGCTCTGGGACAGCAGGTGTCTTGTCTCCCCGGGTCCCTGGGCCTCCAGCTCCAGCCCAGTGTCCAGCTCCTCACGGGGGCTCTGGCAGTGGCCGAACGGTTGCCAGTTTCCAAGGCGGACTCCAGTGATTCTCAGCCCCGGAGTCCGGGCCCGATGTGGTTGCCTCTCACGCTGCTTCGGGGCTGGCTGTGTGTGCCCCTTCCAGTCCAGGCGTATCCCGCTCTGCCGACCTGCCTTGTACTTCCCATTTCCTCTTCCCCCCTGGCCCAGTGTGGTCCCCTGTCCTCACTGCGGGAGTCCCCCTGGCTCCCCGTCCCCCCACACCTCACCACCCTCATTCCCATCTGGGACTCTAGGCAGCGCCTCCATCCTAGGTGTCTGTGTTTCTTCTCCACCAGGCATGTCCTGTCCATGAAGGCCCAGCTCAGTCCCCACTGGCGCCTGCTGCTCTCTCAGCTGTTGTGTTGTAGGTCCCAGTGATCTCGGCCTTGAACTTTTGCTCCCCTGCTTGGTACTTAAGCATTCTCTGATGAGCCCGTTGTTGCCACATCTTCCTAATTAGATCACCCGCTCCCTGGGGCCAAGGTCGTATGTAGCCTGGACTTCCTTCTCCCTCCTCCCGTGGCACCTGGCCCCACGCCAGGGACGTAGTAGATGGTAAATATTTAACTGTTTTGCTAACCATGCACCTGGTTCTACAGGTTTGGAAAGAAGTAGAAATTTTCTTCTATAATAAGCGAGGGGAAAAACCTTCTGTGTCTGTCTCTCTGACAAGATTTCCTCCTAGCAGAGGAACTGTCAGAATGGTCCTGTTTCCTGTTGCTTTGGAAACCAGAGGCGCACCTAGAGTCTCCCATGTCCAGGAACGGATTTCATACTGGGTCAGAGTTGAAAGGACAAACCACCCAGCCTGTTCTGTGGGGATAAGAGCTCTCTCCACGGACCATCCTGTCCCCCTCTCCTTTCCACCCGCTCCTCAGCCCTGGGCAGCTTCTGTTCTCCCAAGCCTCACGCACCCTCCCTCCGTCACCTACACCCACCCCCACCCCCACCCCACCCTGGCTTCCTAGAATGGCACCCTCCTGAGGCCTCCTGTAGGACCCCAACCGCCACCTCCCTGCACTCCCAGCACGCCTTCCCCTAAACAGTCGGCTCACAGCCCCCCCCCCCCCCCCGCCCCGCTCCCTGCCCGAGCTCCAACCTTCTTCCCCTCCCAGAACCAGCTTTGCCCTCTTATCCCAAACTCTGCCTGGCAATCTCTGGCCCCCAATGCAGCTTCGCCTATGCCACCCCCATCCCTGGCTCAGTTCCCCCGAGATCTGCCTGGTCCTGTTCAGTTCTCCCGCTTCCTAACGGCGGTTGTTTGCTGTCCCTTGGGGACCTGAGTCCCAGCCCCGTGCAGCCATTCATCAGGGCTGAGCTCTTTTCTTGGGGGAAAAAGAAGGAAGAGAAGTGCCTTCCCAACCTCCCCTTCCTTCTAGAAGTTTTCTTACTTTTTTTAAAGTGAATAGAAAGTGACTCACTTTAAAGAAATCTACTAACCAAATAGTAGTGCACTTGACTCTCAGTTGTGACAGAGGCCGTTTCGTTTCAAGGTCAAGTGCGAGCTTGGCCTGTGTCTGAATTCTGGGTCTGAAATGTTCCAGGTCTGCATCTGGTTTCTCCTGCCTACTGCAGGCTAATTTGGGGCTAGTTCATTAACGGTCTGCAACCTGGGGTCCCTCGCTGGAAAATGGGGTAAGTATGCACCTCAGAGAGCTGTAATGAGGGCAAAATATGTATCTGCCTCAGGGTGAGAGCCCCAGAAATGACGGGGTTCATTCATTCATTCATCCATTCAGAAAGTCTGTCAATGAACTGATTTATTCCCTTCATCACAATCCAGAGCACCGTGAACACAGGAGATATTTAGCTTGGTGCCTGTGTGTCCCCCGGGCTCATATCTGTGGGGGGGCCTGGCCCCTTAGCCCTGGCCCCTTAGCCCTCTCGCACATTCTGTCGCATAGAGAACTACTACACAGGGACTTTAGAATTTTTTAAAGATGTGGCCAAATGTCAAATAATACTCATAAAGCCATTTAAAGTAGGAGAATGAGGAAATCAAGTTTCCTCAACAGTATGCGAGGAGTGAGCAGACCGGAGCCTGTTTCCTATCAAAGACGTGTACGAATTTTTATTCTTGAAGTCGGCCCAGGGAACTACAAGAGGAGGAAACAGCCCTTGGGACCATCCTCTAAATCAGGGGTGTCAAGCTCATTCTCACCGGGGGCCACATCAGCCTCGTGGCTGCCTTCAAAGGGCCGAATGTAATTTCAACTCCTTAAGAGTTAAAAGGGTAGTTACATACTTCTAGTCCTAAGTTATTTGGGCCCTTTGAAGGCAACCAGGAAGCTGATGTGGCCCCCAGTGAAAATGAGTTTGACACCCCTGCTCTAAATTCTTCCTGCACCTGGACACATGCATACCCCTCCCCCGAACTTGACCGGTCCCGAACTTGACCGGTCCCAGACACACTGAGACGGCCATCCCGGGGCAGTACCTTCTCTGTGACCCAGTCAAGGTTGATCTCAAAGAGTAAGAGCGCGCCAATTGACTTACCAAGGTTGTAAAATGGCAGACAATAGTCTCTTTGGTACGTGCTTTCTTTATACCATGATTCTGCAGGCTCTGAATATCTTCTAAAACAAATATATCGAATGAGGGTCTGCTGGTCTAGTTGAGGTTGACATTGATCTTCTGTCTCAGGTGGGATTGCCCAGTCTGTGAAAGGTCTAAGTGAAAACAGAAACAGTTTGCTGAACACCTCGCTGAAGCAAAGCATTCCATTTTCTCATCAGCTGAGATCCGTTCCCCAGAAGCAACCAGGAGGCTATCGAGATAGTGTCAGCAAGACTCCCAGATGCAAGGCCACCCTGACCAGGTTGTCACTTGGTGGCTCGGGGATTGCAGTCCCCGTTCCTCCTGTGTGGCCCCCTCCGCTCCCAGCCACAGGGCACAGAAGACCACCTGCTTCAGACCTCCCCCGGGTCTGCTTCCTGTAGCCCCGGTCCTCCCGACGCCCTTCCCCATTGAAATTTTTCTACGGTGTTTGGTTCCTCAAGGAACCAATGCTTTCTCTGGCCAGACTAACCACTGTCGGGCATACTGGGGTTTGATGAACGGGGAATCCCTTGGAACCTTCCTGTGCTTCCTGTGGAGGGAGGGGAAAGGAAAGAAGAACTGAGATGTGACGTGAAACAGCCCCGCGCGGTGATGGGCGTTAACACCGTCAGAATGTGCGTGGGCTTTGTCCCAGCAACTGCAGAAATCAGGGCGTCAACAGAGACACCTCTAACAATGCTCGTCAAACATTTCCACGGCAATAAAAAGAGTGGAAACAACCTTCATGTGAAAAAAAAACCCCAAATTGTTTAGAAAATGATACATATACAGGAATACTGTGCCAACGTTAAAAGTGATGCCATAGAAATGCATATACATCTTCTTTATTCACTCATCTGTCAATGGATATATGTATATGTGTGTATATGTATATATACATATACACACATATACATACATCTACATATACATGAAATACTATTACTATATATACTATATACTATTACTATATATAGTAATATACCATTACTATAGTAATATACATGAAATACTATTACTATATATACTATATACTATTACTATATATAGTAATATACTATTACTATATATACTATAGTCTATACACTATATACACACATATACATATGTATATGTATATATACATATACACACATATATACACATACACATATACATGAAATACTATTACTATATATACTATATACTATAGTATATATACTATATACACACACACATATACATATATGTGAAATACTATTCAGCCATAAAAAGGAGAAAATTCTGCCATTTGTGAGAGCATGGATGGACTTTGAGGGCATTATGCTGAGTGAAGCAGACAAGGACAGATACTGTACGATTGCCCTTATACGTGGAATTGAAAAAAACTGAACTCATAGTTCAGAACAGAGAGTAGAATGGTAGTCTGCAGAGGTGGCACTGGGGGTGAAGAAGCTGCTAAGAGGGTAGATGTTAAAACTTCTGCTGACAAGAAAGAGAAAGTTTGTAACTATATGAGGCAATGAATATTGACTAAACTCATTATGGTACATCTATCAAATCATTGCCGTGTACCTTAAACTAACACGATGTAACATGTCAACGATATCTCAACACAACTGGAGAAAAGGGGGTTTCAAAATCCTACCCCTTCCCACTCTGTGTAGATCTGGAAGATTCTGCATGATTATCTATCTCCAGGTGATGACATTGTGAGTATTTTTCAACTTTTTGGTAATAAATGTTTTCCAAATATTTTAATAAATGTGTATTTTTAACCTATAAAACACAGAGGGTGAGCTGCTATAAGTGCCAAAACATTCAATATTAGGCGAGCTTTAAAAGGAACGTTAAAATCCGATCCTTCGGTAGTAAGACGTAGTCTTACTTGACTGTGTCCCCGTGACCGATCACACTGAAATGAGGTGACCGACACTGCTTAGTCACACGGCACTGTGTTCACACTCTCGGGCACACACTCGATGGTAAGGAGCCTTCTTTGAAGAGAGTGTGTTAGCAGAAACAGAGTAGCTCGACTAAAGTACAGAAAAAGCAGGAGCATGATCTGACCATAGGTGTGCCGTTCAGGACAGGGCACAGGTGCGCTGGGCGGCGCAGGGGTGTTCTGCAGTGAGGAGACACAGGGAAGCACCAGGAATTCCCACCCGCCCCTTCTACTCTATCTTATTTCATGCCTGATGGGTACTTGTCCTGGCGGCGGGTATGTTTAAACGGTGGGCAGCGGCACAGCTTTCCCCACAAAAGTGTGCCTCCCACTGTCAGTGCCAACGGGAGCTGCCTGATGGACGTGCCCGGAGGGCCCCGTGAGTTTGGGTTCTGCGTGACCGTCAGTCTAGTCACTTCTGTGCTGGCCGCTTGTTTCCGAGCCAGAGCCTGCTGGGCCGCCTTAGCCTTGGGTGTTTCTGTGGAACCTGAATATTCTCCATCAGTGTCCTTCTGAAGACGACACGTTCCCTCAAAGGAGGGGCTCTAATCCTGAAAATACTATTTGGTAGAGCAGCATGTCTGGAGAGGGTGAGCCAGGATGGACCTACCAAGTTAGGCTCTGCCTACAAAAACTGAAGTCAGGATTGGTCCAAAGAGCTGCATGATATTCTGTTTTCTGAATTTAAAGACAAAAGTATTTTTGGCTTTGCTTTTCCTTGTTACTCTTAAACTAGAAGCTTTAATAAAGCCATCGATTGCCACCTGCACTCAGTTTTCCCTTACGGCTAATCTCGGGCAGGCACAAGTCTGGCCAGAGTCAAGGAGCAGATCAAGGTTCCCTTTGCCTGGGCCATCCTGCGTGGGAGGGCTGATGCTTGGGTGCAAGGAGATGGAGTTGGGAGAGTTGCTGGAGTCCACAGGACACACGTGGACAGTGGCCCGTGGAGCGGGACTGGCCGTGGGGACTGTCCTCTCCTTTTTCACCTGCCCTCTGGCAGAGGATGTAATCCTAACCAGAGTTTAATGTACGTGCGTCGTGTTCGAGCTGGAACAAAGGGCTTTGAACTGGGGGTCAGAAAATGCGGAAAGATTCCAGTCTCTGCATTTACACCGACCAACTGGACCTCAGGCAAGACGTGCCGCTCCCCTGCGCTGCATCTTACTCATCTAGTTGGATTGGAACGACCTTTAGGGCTACTTCCGGTTGGACCATCTATCCAGTTTAGACTCTACGCTGCTTTATAGACGCCGTGGCTCCCTTGGCTGTGCATGGAGGATAGTAAGAGCTGACTATATCAAAGGCGATTAAGAGAAAAAGAGAAATTTGTGAAATATACCAGAGGAACTCAAAATCATAGCAACCGTATTTTGAGTGCCTACTGTGCTCTGGAATTATATAGCAATTATTTTGTTCATAACAGATAAGAACACCAAGACTCAGAGAAGGAATGAAAATTGCCCAAGATCTAACATCCCATAAGTTACTCAAATTGCTGCTTTTAACTACTGTGGTTTCCAGTCTCTGCAAACCAGAATACAACCTCAAAGTACCTTTGTTGTTGTTAAAATTATATCCATCGAGGCAGAAACCATTAAGCCAAGTTTGTGACTTTACTGAGAAGGAAACTGAGACTCAGGAAGGTTCACTATCTGACTAAGTTGAAACTCTAAACTCACGGTGTTTAAATTTCTTAGATAATTTAATAAAACTCTAGTTATTGCTGATTATAAGAATAATATATGTTTATTAGAGAAAATGTGGAAAATAAACCAAAAAACACAAATACCAATAATCTCACCACTCACAAATAACTGTTGTTAACAGTTTGGTATATTACCTTCCAAACTGTTCGTATCCATTAAATAATAATAATTACTATTGCTCTCACTTTTATTATTAGAAAATGTGATTCCCATTTAAAAAAATTTATCATTCTACCTTTAGCGCTATTTTCGAAAGTTAAGGTGTAGAGAAGTGTCTCACCTGGGAGATGTCATTACGCTGTAGTCCCAATGGACTCTTGCCAGCTGCCCCGGGAGGCAGCCCCGCACGTCCTTCCCTTGACGAGCCACGAATACGCTGGCGGAGGAAGTGAGGGGCGGGGAGAAGCAGTGATCACAATTAGTTCCGTGCAGAGGAGCAGAGGAGGACCGGCTGCGGTGTCGTGGAAAGAGATGTTCCGTCTTTGTCCCCATTTCCTTGCCCGGGGCTCCTTGGACTTTTCTTTCTCACTTTTAATTAATTATTCTTTATTTCAAGGTGCACTTTCATTTATTTATTTCAATGACAGTTGATATTAAATATGAATTACTTTCAGATGTATAGCATAGTGGCTGGACATTTATATAACTTAGGAAATGACCCCCCCAATAAGTCGGGTGCCCCCTGGCACCGCACAAAGTCATTGCAATATTGTTGACTGTACTCCCTGTGCTGTATACTATCGGGCTTTCTTGATAAGAGGGTCTTTCGTATCCATTTTTCGGCAATCATAAGGAAATATTTGACATGACAGACATTAAGTTCAAAAGCAGGAAAAAAATTAGGTGATCATATTTGAAACCAGTGGGGCAAATGTCGATAATTGTTGAAAAGTGAGAATTGAAAAAAGGGTGTTTCTTATGCCATTTTTTCTACTTTGGATATTTTTACAAACTTTCACAAGTTTGTTTGTTTTTTAAACAAACTGATACTTAAGTATATAGGGGCTAAAGATGAAGAAACACTGGGGTGGTCTTGTAAGCCTGGGAGGGCTGGGTTGGGAGGGAGGTTTGAAGCACAAACAGGGATGAATGAGGCGGAGAAGTGCTTCCGGGCCCGAAGGGGAGCCCGTGTGGGTGCGGCTGTCATGCACCCGTGTGGAGGGGGACGAGGCTGGGGGTGGTGGTACCCAGACCTCATGTTGGAAATACATCTCATTTTAGGATGCACTGCTTTTCCTTTCAGATTATCATTGAGCATTCTATGGACACTTAAAAATTATGTGTAGTTCGATTCTGTTATTTATAGATTTTATTTCTAAGAGTGGCAGGGACATTAACAAACTATTTGTTATTAAAAAAAAAAAAGGAATGTTGCGCCTGAAAGGTTGAGAACCACCAATGTAGGTGATAGGGAATCTTAGGAAGGTACTTTTAAAGATTCATGAAATAATACAATTTTTATTTTAGATTTTTGCTGGTGGTGGAAAACGTTTGAGGGCGATCTGACTCAAAGTGGAAAGACTGGTTAGGAGGCGACTGGAGCGATTTAGGGGGACACGGCAAAGCTCTGAGCTCTGTGTTGGGAAGGTGGGCGGAGGGAGACGACTGAGCGGGGACCCACTGGGAGAGAGGACTGAGGGCGAGGACGGGGGAGTCGTAGGCCGCAGGCGTGGGAAGAACACTGCCACCCACAGGAGAGGGGGCACAGGATGATAACCACTGTGGTCTTTTGGGACCTTCCACAGATTCGGAGCCCCCAGTAGGTACCATAAGAATTCAAGGAGCCCTGGCTGGCATAGCTCAGTGGATTGAGCTTGGGCTGCGAACCAAAGCATTGCAGGTTCGATTCCCAGTCAGGGCACATGGCTGGTTTGCAGACCACGGCCCCCAGCAACTGCACATTGATGTTTCTCTCTCTCTCTCTTTCTCCCTCCCTTCCTTCTCTAAAAATAAATAAATAAAATCTTTTTAAAAAATTCAAGGAAGAGAGTCAGTGGGAAGTAGAGTATAGTTTTGGATGAAGTAGCAAGCCAATACGTGCTGGGTGGTAAATGGAAATTTAAACTATGCCCCAGTCCACACTTCCTGTATTGAATGCATGAGACCGCTCTGTGCTCCCTCCTAAGTTCTGACTGACTCAGAAGCCGTTCTAGTTCTCGAATTGCTCATTATGGGTTGAAATCGTGATCTGAATAAAGGTCAGTGGATGGAGAAGAGGGTCCGGTGTGTAGGGTTTGGGCTGGTAAATAGGATGGGGAAGAGATGCCAGGTGAGGGCAATTTCAGAAGTCAGGACTTGCACAGAGCGACGATCAGAATGGAACTGGAGAGCATCATGCTAAGTGAAATAAGCCAGGCGGTGAAAGACAAATACCATATGATCTCACTTTTAACAGGAACCTAAACAACAAAACAAACAAACAAAATATAACCAAAGACACTGAAATAGAGGACAGGCTGACAGTGACCAGAGGGGAGAGGGGAGGGAATTTCAGGGGAAAAGGGGAAGGGTTAACAGGAATAAGTATAAAGGACACATGGACAAAAACTAGGGGGGGTAGAAATGGGAGGGAGGTGAGGAGGACTGGGGGGGTGGGCTGGGATGGGAGTAAAAGACAGAAAACTGTACTTGAACAACAATTAAAATAAAAAATTGAAAAAAAAAGAATGGAGCATGTGGGGACCAGTGCAGTCCTGGCGGTCTGCAGCCTGAAAGGCGAGCACTGTGCGCAGGGTGAGTCTGTCTGTGTCCGCACGCAGCACCTCAGGGAGCTCAGATTTTCAGAGAAACCACAGGCTGTCTGGGCTTGCCCAGCAGTTGGGATAACACGACTGAGCCCTGGACAGTAAACAACAGTGGGGGGTTAAGTCACAAGAGGAGAGAGGAACTGGCACGGTCGTAGGGAACAAATGACATTCCTGAATGCGCTTGAGTGGGGCACCTAGCTTTCTTAGGCGCCCTTCCAGCTTCTGAAGCACTGCCGTGGACACGGTTACCCCAGGGCCACGTCACAGTTCATTAGACCCCAACAGGCGTTTCCAGAACGACGCTGGCCTCTCACGGCCGCTAGGCAGTCTGCGGCAGGCTGCGTTTGGACTGCGCACTCTGCAGAAGGGTGCACACAATAAACGCCAGCTGAATACAGGTGGTAACCAAGGCGCTGCTGCTCGGGCGCAGTCTGCGAGAGCTGTTCTGAGTGTGGACGAGCCCTTCACTAGCGCCAGGTAACACGCCCACCAACGTCCCTTGTGAGGGTCTCCTGGCAGGTATTGGCCCAGGAGCAGAGAGTGGGGCGTGTTTCAGCAGGCGAAGGGCTGGTTGGAGAAGCAGGTTTGGGGGGTGAAGCATGGCACCCTCCTTCGTCTCCAAACTCTTGGGTAGACTTTCCAGCCTCTCCGATGTGGCCTTCACCTCGAATGGGAGAAAGCTTCCAAAGGAGAGGTTTTTGGGAGAGAATTTTTACCTTCTAAGGGGCAATGCCGAGCCTCTCCCAAGTCAGGGCGGGTGTGGGCCAAACAGTGAAGGGCTGGAAAAGCACGTGCCGGCTCCCCACACCTGGCCCAGGAGCCCTGCCTGGGACCGCGCTCCATCGAAGGACTGACTTGGCTTTCAGGATCCTTGAATCGGGGGTGGGGGAGGTAGAAGAGGGCCCAGGGGGCGATAAATATGAGGGAAGGAGACATGTCTTGGGGTGGTGAACATACAGTATACAGATGGTGGATTACAGAATTGTACACCTGAAACCTATGTAATTTCATTAACCGATGCCACCCCAATACATTCAATGAGGAAGACAGGAGAAGGTTCTTGAATCATCTGTAGAAAGGCCTTTCCTGGGACGGGAGCAGGAGTCCACCTGTGTCTGACTTCACTGTATGCCGTTTACCCGTCCTGGGCGGCTTGGCTCTGGGAGGTGAAGTGTTGGGTTCAGACAAGAGCAAACCCGTCCCCTGGGAGCGGCCTGTAACCGGAGCAGGATCAGGGCTCAGCCGCAGACAAAATTCAGTACACACAGGGGCGGTCCGGGGTGCTTGGCCCTCAACAGCCTGAGGCAGCTGTGTCATTGCACCTATGCAATGCAATTCTTATTATGAAAATTTGAATACGGTTTTTAGTATGGAATTCTGTGCAGTCACTACCACTTGTGAACCGTTTAATAATTCATTTTATTAGGTGCCCTTGCTGGTGTGTGATTCAGTTTTCCCTAGTTGTTATTGGCCCCAGGCTTGGGCAGGTAAGGCAGGATTGGATAAATGCCTGTGCAAATGATTGCAGGAGGGTGGGTCTTCTCCAGGGGCTGTCAATCACCAGGAAACCAAACCACAAATAAATGACAGAATGATTTTTTTCTCATTGATTCAATCATTTTCAGTTTTTTCAAGAACTGTGCATCGGGCCCACCACGTGGGACAGCCAGCTGGGCAGAGGTTATGATGGTGGGGTGTGGAGAGAGACAAGCCCACCCTAGGGAAGCGGACCCGGAGGTGTAGCGAAGTGCAGGGATCAAGAGCACAGAGGTGGGAGCGAGGCCGATGGGTTCAAATCCTACCTCTGCCCATTGCTTACTTGCTGTGGATGTTGGGTTGTCACTTAACCACTCTGCACCTCAGTTGTCCCTCCTCATCTGTACGTCCCAGTGGTTGGGAAGATTAAATAAGTTAACGTGCCCTTAGCACCGTGCTTGCCACAGAATGAGAGCTACATGAGTCTTAACTATTATTCTAGTGGGTGAGACCAGCAACAAATAAAATAAGTTGTGAGAATGGCCACGGCATCTTATTCCCAAAAACGGGGTGAGATGGAGAATAACAGAGGTGGAGAGGTGGGCAGGCGAAGACCTTCCCTAGCCGGGGGCAGGGGGTGAGGGAATCAAGAAGAGCTGCCTGAGCAGCTGACAGTGAGCTAAGCCGTGCTGGGTGACATGGGGCTGGTTAAGACAAGGCAGGCCAAGGAGGGGGCAGGGAAGTCATCCAGGGAGAGGGAACCTGTCCAAAAGCCCTGAGCTAGGAAAGCGTGTGGCCTATTGAAAGAATGGAAGAAAGACAATGGGGTTTTGTAGAGCGGCAGGGTCAGCCCGTGGAAGGCTTTGTAGGTCCTGGCAACGAGTTTGGATTTAATGCAAAATGCCATGACTGCAGGGTTTTATGCAAGGGGGTGGCTTTGGCCCGATTTGTATTTCACGAAGCTTGCTCCAGAGAACGGATTGCAGGAGGACAGGCGTGGTGGCTGGTGTAGGTCAGCACGGTGGTCTGGACAGTGGAGATGGCGGAAATCATTCCCATGGGAGACCTGTGCTGGAGGCAGGACTGAGGAACTTGCTGATGGATCGGACCCACTATTGTGGCCAAGGCAGAAAGTAGACAAAACCCCACTCCAGAGTGAGTACTGAAGGCGGGGCGCACCCAGTCTGTCTCAGAGAGTGTGCCTCCCTGTGGGGCCCTCATGAAAGAACACGGAGAACCGAATCCAGCCCAGCTCTGGGCCTGTCACACACGTCCCACCGATACTCCCAGGCTCCCCACCGGCTGCCTCTGGCCGGGCCCAGGGACCGACCTGGTTCCACTGGGCTCCAGGCAGCAGCCACAAAGGGAAGTCTGTTTCTGGTTTCCCCAGGAGATGAGGCCACAGTTAAATATGCCCAACTGCGGACAAAACAGACCTCAAACACATGTAGAACAAACACGTGTGGGAGACAGAAATCAGGAGACAGTGGAGCCCACCTGTTTCCTCCTCTCGTGGTCTCAGGGAGGGAAAGGGGACTCTTAAGAATATCTACGAACCAAGCATCCTTCCCTGACCCCTCTGCCTTCTTCGGTGATTTCTGGAAGCAGAAGAACTTACCTTTGTTGACTAAATGTTGTTAAAGTTAACTAAATACTAGAATAAACATGACGCTTGCTCAAACCCACGAAGGGACTGCAGGAGGCTGACCCCAAAGTCACTTGTGATGTGCCCCTGGTAGCTTGTGAATCTCTGCAGAACCCAGAGCCGGTGGTTGAGGGTGGGGTGGGGTTAGGATTTCCAGATGGTTATACAATCTCTCCCAGCAAGATGAACTTAGGCCGATACAACATGCCTGGGACTTGTTATTCCTAGGCCATGGATGAACTTGGAGAGAGAGTGAAACTCGTCCCTAGTTTCCGTGTGCTCAGTTACCTCCCACATGGTAAAAGCATAGGAGCTGTTTGTGTGATTCTAAGCAGGGAAAAGGGTCCCTCATTCTTCTTGCAAAAGTCTTTCCCAAGCAAAACCATTGTCCTTCAATCTTTTGGGAATTTGGAGCTGCTTTTTGGCTTGGATTCTGCCTTGAGTGTGGGATTTTTCTTTTTCTTTTTAACTACTAAACCCAAAGAAACATCACTAGAACCCTCTGGCAGCCGCCGCCTGTCACTCACAGAGCAGCAGAGTGAGCAATTCCAATTCCCCAGGTGCCTGTCTGTGTCTGGAAGAACGTTACCTGGGTGGGATCACAGGGCGGTGGTCAAGAAATTTTCGTAGCTTGATGGCAGACATGATGAATGAGATTCTGGGGGGAAAAAAGGGAAGGTTCACATGGCAAGTGTATGCACATTCCCAGGTGTGAGCTATCTAGTACTACAAAGACCTTGAAAGTAGAGGACTATCTATCCATAGCTTCTGCTAGACTATTTAGGGGAAGAAATAGACTGGTAAAGGAGCAAAAAAAAAATTGCAAGCATAAGCCAATGCATACAGATATGCTGTTCTTTAAAAATAAAAAAAAATACTAGTGTGCCAGTTGGGCACTTAGCCCTCATTCTCATGCTTGTTAGGGTGCCTTCCTGTTGCACTGGCTTTCAGGCTGAATACTACAGTTCCCAGACTCCCTTGCAGCTAGAGTTCTGATATGAATTAGATTCCTCTGATCAGATATACGCGAGTGAGATGTGAGAGGTGGAAATGGGATCGAGGCCATTTCTTGCTATTTTGACTTTTTTCTACTGGCAAGCGAGGGTGTGAAGGTATAGCATGTGTGTTTGTGCAGTGAAACTCCATTGCCTAATCTCCAGCTTTGGGGTTATCAAGAAACAATTGCCCCGAAGGCAGCAACTGCACCCTGCGTTCGTGAGTGTGGGAGAGGTGGCCGCAGTGGCAGCGGCGGTGGCTTTGGCAGTAGGTCCTTGAACTCAGTTGTTCTGGAAGCAGCTTCCTGATTAGGGCATAAGTAGCTACTTCCATGATGGGTCAGTTTGTGGAGGTGTTCTAGAACCTTCTTGGAGGCCTTCCCCAGAGCCTGCCCCTCCAGTCCTCCCAATGATTTTGTGAGTATCTCATTATCTATATTAAACCCCTTCTGTTTCCTAGAGTGACCGTGAACTTAAATATATATATTTTGTCTGGTACAAATTTTCATATTGCATATGATTATCTTGCCACAGAAAACCACTACCTCTGAATATTTGCCTAAAAGAGCCAATGACAGGGAGGGAAACTGAGTGCCTGGGGGACAAAAGAGGGAGAAAACGCTACTCTTCAGTTATGTACAGTTTACTTCTGTGCTCCTTTCGGATGTTGTAGCATGTGTATGTATTGTATACACCCAGTTATACACAGCTTAGCGACAGGGACATGTTCTGAGAAACGTGTGGCGAGGTGATTTTGTTGTGCGAACGTCATAGAGTGAAATTACACAGACCTGGTGGCACAGCCCCGCCCTGTAATGTGTGAACCAGACTTTTCCACAACAGGCAGTGCGGTGGGTTTGTTCACACCGGTGTCGTCGCAAACGTGGGAATGGCGCGCTGCACCACAATGTTACGGTGGCTGCAGCACCCTGAGGAGGTAGGAATTTTTCAGCTCCGTTATAATCTTGTGGGACCACTGTCGTGTCTATTGGCCATCACTGACTGAAACGCCATTGTGTGGTGCATGACTGGACGAAGACAGCTGAGCCTCTGATCTACGTGTGTGTGGCAAACAGGAAAACACTGCACCCAGACCTGTGTGACCTGTGGCTGCGTGTTTGTGTCCACTCTGAAACTTATATGTTGAAACCTGAACCCCAGTGTGATGAACGGTATTAGGAGGTGGGGCCTTTGAGAGACGATTAGGTCGTGAGGACGGAGCCCTCGTGAAAGGGATTAGTGCCCTTAGGAGGGAGACCCAAGGGAGATCCCTGGCCCTGTTTCCACCACGTGAGGACACAACAAGGAGTTAGCAGCCTGCAACCCAGAGGATGGTCCTTGCCAGAACCCGGCCACCCCAGCACTCTGAGCTTGGGCGTCCATCCGCCAGAACAATGAGAAATAAACGTCCGTGGTTTATAAACCAGCAGTCTGTGATGGCTTGTTATAACTGCCCAAACAGACTATGGCCCCTGCTCTGTGTGCTGACGACCACAGTGTCTGTCTGGAGGATTAAGTGTGGCAATAATGTATGAGTGAGTGTTTGAACCTAAAGAACACCTTTGAGAACAGGAGTTCTGCGTGTGAGCATGTATTATGCATTAGGTGACATATACTAATGCATATTGGCCTCTCAGAAATCTTGCAAACTATTACCGTTCTTTTGCCAACAGGAAGTACTGAGAAGCAAAGTAACTTGTACAAAGTCACTGGAGAACCAGCACTGAAACCATTTGGCTCTAGAAACATTTATCTTGACTGCTACTGTTCTATTGAAAGTTTTGAAAGAACCACAGAGCACCCGGGCCATCAGCCAAAGTAAAACTGGGGTGACCCGAAAAAGCAGTAAGCAGGGAGAAGAGAGGACTGGACTGAAGTGTGGGGGGCTTCCCTCTCTCCCCTTTTATCGTCAAAACCGGACTCATTGCCCACAGGCCGCTTAGCTGCTTTATGTCACCTCTAAGTTTTTCAAGCAACTGGAAGCATGTCAAACAAGATTACATCAACACGGCATTGTTTGGCAATCCCATAGAACCTGTTCATTATATAACGTGTTTTTGCCCTTAGTGCTGGTTGGATTATAAACAAAAAGAAAGGGAGAAAGAACCAAAGAGAAGACCTGAGTCAACATGATGCAGCTCGGTCACCGACGGGCCGGAGAGAAGAATGTAAGATATTCAGGACGCGTGGGCTCCCGACAGAGACAGCAGCAAGTGTGACTTCGCTGATGGAGTGGTTGCTCAGAGCCGAGAAACTCTGAGTCAGCACCGCGGCCCGGCTTGCCGTGCGTGAGTTGTGCCACAGAAACATTTTTGGAGGAACTTTTACCAGACCACAGAGTCTAAGCCGAAGCTTCCAGAAGAATCAGAAGACTGTCTGAGAGCGGCCACAGACCCATCCTTGGGCGTATTTACAGAATTCCTCTACTGCGTAGATAAGGAATACCAAGTCTCGTTTTCTGTGATTATTACCGCCTCTTGAGCACTTAAGAAAATGTCGTTTACAATAAGATCTGTCTGGGCATTTTATTTAAGCCGGTCTGAGAAAATAGACTTATAAGCATCACCAAGAGCCAGCTTTTATTAACCCAAGTCACCCCAGTATATTTAATTTAAAAAGAAAAAAGTAGATTCACACACCAGTTCTGAATGCAAAAACTATGAATGCACATTAGACCAGCCATTGTCTCTGTACCCACAGCCAACCCGCACAGCCTCTGTTCTCTGCGCCACAAGCGGCAAAACTTTCATCTCCTTGGAAATGTATAATTTGTTTTAGTTGCCTTAAGAGAAAATTCTTCCTCAGATGTGTCCCAAGTAAAGTTCTCCCGGAGTAAACGTGAGTTCTCTCTGTATCCTTATCCTACCTGTCATTCAATGTGCAGTTACACTAGGAAATCGTAAATACTTTCCTTTAAAAATAAAAACAAAAACAAAAACAACCCCCCCCCCCGAAAATGTAACAGATTCGAGTAAATAAAAAACAGGTTGGGGAGATTTGGGCATCTGCATGACTCTTATTCGGGAAAATTGCAGCCACTTTCATTAAGTAATGCTGGCTCATAAACCACTGTGGTCAGACTCCCTGGGCACAGAAATTAAAATTTAATAACGATGTTTTACTATGCTGATTCAGAAGGTGAACTAAGGCAAATGAGTAACAGATGTGTTGCAATGAAATTTCTCAGAGTCAGTATCCAACATACTGACTTCAGAAACAAATATATAAGATTTATTTTGTCAACTTTCTCAACAACTTTTGTGGTATCACAGAATACCCTGTGGATCAAACCAGAATTCTAGAAAATACAATAGCACAGTCAAGAACCTGTTAAAATCCGCCCATTTGGGGGAAAATGTCTTTGCGCACCATGAACAAACTTTCTCAGCCTGAGGAGGAGCATTGAAAAGACCCACCCCTAACATCACACTCAACGGGGGAACACTGGTTTCTTCCTCCGATGAGGAACGAAGCGAGGGTGAGCTCTCACGCCAACGAAGGGCCGGACGTCCTGCCCAGTGCAGTGAGGCCAGGAGAGGACATAAAAGTCAGGCAAATGGGAAAGGAAGAAAATTGTCCTCATGTGCAAAGGCCATAACTATCCACGTAGAAAGTCTTCAGGAATCTACCAACAGACCCCTAAAACATCACCATTTTTCATAAAATCACGGTATACAAGGTCAACAGATAAAAACAATAATTACATTGTATACTTCAATAAAAAATGGGAAAGAAAATTTAAAACACAACAGTTTACAACAGCTAGAAAAGAAAAATATTATATATAAATCTCACAAGACAGGTGCAGCTCTGTGTGCTGGAAACTGCAAACCGCTGGCGAGAGGAACCAGAGGAGGCCTGAGAGGCTCACCGCGCTGCGGGCTGAGAGACGCGACACAGCGAAAAGGACAGTTGTCCCCAGGTCGTTTATTCGGGAAGACTTTCCAGCGTGACGTTTTGTAGCTATAGATACGCTTATTCTAAAGCTTATTAAAATGGCACACTTGAAACTTAGATAATCTTATTGTTTTATAATCTTATAATGTCACTCCCATACACTTAATTAGCAACAACATAAAACCAAATGGATGTGGACATTCAAGGACACCAAAATAGCTAAAAGGGTTTTAAAAAAAGGCAGCCTCCCCCTCCCACCAGGCCTCGGCGAACCCCCATTACCCACCGGACATGCTCCGTATGTTACTGCATTTAACGCTCACAAGAGTCCCGAGAGTTCTTCATTATTTTCTTGAATCTGCAGAAGACATTGAGTTACATGTTTAAGGTCACACAGGCAGGAAACAACCACAAAAAATAGCCAGTCATCTGACGCCAAAGCCCACCGCGGTGCCCCTGATTCATTGATTCCCTCGCAAATATTTGCTGGTGAGCTCCCGTCGCCTGGCGCTGCACCAGGCCCTGGGGAAGCAGCGTTGCTCACGTGGTGGTACAGACGAGGTCAGACGTGAATCACAGAGTCACTCGAGTCAATGAAATGAAAGCTCTGTAGCTGCTAAAACCAGGTCCTTTCACTAGTTACTTCTCAGGATGTTGAGAGGCTGCTTCCCATCCCCTACACCCTTTTCAGACTTATAAAGAAAGAAGCCCTGGCTGGCGTAGCTCAGTGGATTGAGCGCGGGCTGGGAACCAAAGTGTCCCAGGTTCGATTCCCAGCCAGGGTACATTCCTGGGTTGCAGGCCATAACCCCCAGGAACCACACATTGATGTTTCTCTCTCTCTCTCTCTCTCTCCCTCCCTTCCCTCTCTAAAAATAAATAAATAAAATATTTAAAAAAATTAAAAAAAAAAAAAGAGACTGGCCCTGCCTGGTGTGGCTCAGTGGATGAAGCATTAGACTGCGAAGCAAAGAGTCACTGGTTCGATTCCCAGTCAGGCCACATGCCTCGGTTGTGGGCCAGGTCCCCAGGTGCGGGCGCATGAGAGGCAACCACACAGTGATGTTTCTCTCCCTGTCTTTCTCCCTCCTTCCCCCTCTCTAAAAATAAATAAAATCTTTAAAAAAAATTCTTCCCCAGCAAAAAAAAAAAAAAAAAAAAAGATGACTACTAACACATGTTGCCTTTGCCTCTGCAAACATGGACATTGCGCCTGGTAGGAAGATGTGGAAACCTTCCTCATGGAGATGGGTTATCCCAAGTTTAGAAAACATTTAAAAAAAATAGCATCTATGGATTGAGCGCGGGCTGCGAACCAAAGCATCGCAGGTTCGATTCCCAGTCAGGGCACATGCCTGGGTTGCAGGCCACAGTCCCCAGCAACCGCACATTGACGTTTCTCTCTCTCTTTCTCCCTCCCTTCCCTCTCTAAAAATAAATAAATAAATAAATCTTAAAAAAATTGGCATCTATTTTTATGGTAGGGAAGAGTTAGAGACAACATTTGTTTAATCAAAGGTTGAGTCCTCCCAGTACAAATCAAATGGAGCAGCAGTAATTACCAAGTAATCAGCTTGAGAACCTCAATTATGTGACCCCTAGCAAGTTATCATTTAATGAATGTGTCCAAAGGAGGGGCAGAGGCAGGGTTGGAGTCAAGGTCTCAAGACCCGAGTATTATTTATCTAGTAACTTTGGGAACATTTGAGGACTAGTCAGGGAACGGCATTTCAACGGTGTATAAATGGCAACAATTGCTTTTCTGAAGGTATACAGACCCAGAGTCCTGGGGGCCCCTTTTCCTAAAGGTGTGGCATCTGTACTCAAAGTCTGGGGGAAGTTGGGCCGCTGGGGAGAGCCACACCCTGGTGACCTCATATTGGCGAGAAGGTTTGGCCATGGGACACTTTCCCCGCTGCCTTTGACATGTGTTGTGAGGGAACCATCAGAAAAGGGTTTCAGTAAGTGAGTTACTTTGCAAACCCTCCATTGCTTCTGTTTCTCACGAAGCTTGTTTTCCCAGTTCAGGAAGGTGGGTTACCCACCTCTTCCTCCCCTTGGGCCCTCCCCCCAATCCTACTATAAATTCTGCTGCCTCCTTCTCTAGTCCAATGTCCACCGGTTTTTCTAGGGCCTCACTCAAGTCCTATATCATCTCCTACAACTTCTCTGCTCTGATTTCCACGTGGCCTATTGCCTGCCTCTGAATTCCCAGAGCCCTTGATGAATTCTGTTGTAGCTTTCATGGTGGTTTCTGAGACCTTTCCTCGTGGGTTCATTGGTTTCTGAATTCATTTATTAATTTGATCATTGAAGAAACTATTTCATGAGTGACAGCTTGGAGCCAGGGGTGGACAGGGCTCTAGAGATTTTCCAGAGAGGAAGACAGGAGTTTCACACGGTGTCTTGCCTCTCCAGCCGCAGTGTGACCGACCCCCTAGATGCTGGACCCATGTTGTTTTGGTGGCCACTGGCTTCCCCTCACAGTCCTTTCCTGCCTCGCTGTGGTGAGAAGTGTTTCCCTTCCAAGGAAGTGCTCTGTGCACCCTTTGGAATGAATGGATAAATACAAAAATCCACCCATCCTTTAACTCAGCACTGTACTAATCCAGTCAACAGTTTTTAAGCTTTCTTCTTGTATCATAGAGAACCAGATACCTTAATGTAGGTATATCCCATTTCTAAAAAAAAAAATGTTGAGCTAAAACCATTTAAATAATTCAAATTTGAGCAGGAGTATTCCCTTTGTAAAAGAATTCTTGGCATTAGAAATGGTTTGCCACAACATTTCTTGAGATAGTGAGCTCCAGTCTCTAGAACATTCAAAATGTGACCCGCTCTTTAGCAGAGCAAGCAGCAACCGCGGAGTGAGGGGAGGGGAGGTTCGGGCAGTAGCAGCTGTACTGGAGTTACCTGCCTGGGCAGCAGTGGGTGGAGACCTGCGTGCTTTAAAAAATCTGCCTTTTGAGGAGGGCGGTGATTTCTGCTGCCTCCTGGTGGTCAATGTGCGTGCGGCAGAGGCACCCTGCAGACTTATGGGGCATGATCCCTTGACATCACTCAAAGGGCATTATGATGCACTCTGGGTCAGAAAGTTTGGCTGGGGAACACCTTTCAGGTCTGGGGCTTATAAAAAGTAGAGGTCCTTTGGTCTCTGTGAAAACTCAGTTGCACAGGAAAAGAAAGGGTGAAAATGAGTGCGGAAAGAAAAACCACGGGGGCAAATAGTCCAGATGATTTTATTGCTAGCACTTCCTTTTCCATAAAGATTATTCCAAGGCCCACACACGGTCGATGACCTGGGTGGTGCTGGGTTGGCATGTTCTGGCCCTTGGCCAGCTGGAATTGAGGAAGTAGGGCTGGGACTTGTCAGTGTGTGGGGCTGCCCATTGGCTGAGGACATCGAGGTTGGCTGGTTGTGAAACCGCATGTCCTTATGACTTGGATTAAATTCAGTTTTAAATCCCAGCTCTAGACATGTCCTCCCTCTCTGTAGGCACCCCTCCAAGACCTAGCCTTTCCCCCCCGATCATCAGCAACCCCTGAGGCAGCAGGGACAGGAGCCAGGACCCGACTAACGGTCACAGGGTTGGATCTCTGGCGGGCTCATGCTAACACTGGGACCTAAGTTAGGTTTTAACTCCTGGGCCCTAAAGTGGACCGACCACCGGCCTACTTTCCCGTGAGACCGGACAGAAGGACATGGGAACAGATCTCAGAGCTGTCCTCAAGACCTGAAGGGATGACTTATCAGTTGACTTCACCTCCAACCAAGTGGCTCCCAGCACGACCTTGAATTCTAACCCACTGTGTCTTGTGATTTTGTCCTATAGAATCTGTGACTTACAGCCATCAGGGAGTCCAGGCTTTTGAGCATTAGCTTCCTGTTCTCCTGGGTGGTGCCATTCATCAATAAAATAGCCAACCTTTCTCCGCTGAAATTCTCGGTGTCTGGCTCTGCCCAAAGGCAATATCTGGCTGGACAGCCTCCTGTTCTGCCACGGTTAGGCGAGCCCGGAGCAGGCTGGAAGCTGGGCTGCGTGTGGCTCCAGATCAAATTCAGGCTGAGTAAATGCAACTGCAGGCATTGTGTGCCGTCTCCGGGAAGTATCTTTAAAGAAAGAGGCGTGGCCTTCTCCTTCCTGCTGGGTGAAAATGCGGATCAAAGGCTGGGATTTGAGTAGCTCTGGGACCACACTCCGGAAGGGTACATTAGGTGGGTAGAGGAGTGAGTTTGAAGAAGAAGAAGGCTGCTCAAGGACCAGAAGGCTGGTCCTTCGTGATTATGGAGCCACCAGAACAACCTTGACTGCTCTCCTTTGGACTTGGTTTCGATAACACTGCAGTGAGAATGTATTTCATTTAAGCTTCCTTTGCAGAGCCAAACCCACACATGTGCTGAGCAGCACAAGACGGACCTTTCTCAAGGGCAATCTTGCTTTTAAATAGGAGTTTTCTGCCTACTCTCCTTCGTTCATTCATTTGTTGAAAAAAAATGTTAAGTAGTGTGTACCAATGTGCCTTCCCTTGTTACTTAGTGAAGGACGGGAATTGGAGCGCAAAGCCAGTGGCACTGAGACAGAGTCAGATGTCATCGCCACTAACAACATCCTTTTAAAATCCCCAAGGGAAGCCTAGTGTGGCCGCTGCGGGGCAAGGACGGACTGACAACAGGGCGGTCTCAATGCAGTCGGAGCCCGCAGTCACGCCTTTGTTTTGGCTCCAATGACAACCGCGGGAGGGTGTGAGCACGGGCACCGTGGTATTGTGGAAACTGGTTTTATTTATTTCCCTTCCCTTTCTTCGCAGCACACATGGAATGGCAGGCAAGTGCAAACATTTCTCCTTGCCTCCCAGGGAGGCTTTGAAAATTAGGTCCCATTTTCCTTTCTTTTCTTAAATGTAATCCTTATTGTATTTTTTCCCCATTACCAATTAGTAGGTCTAGTTTTATTTGTTTGTTTTTTGGGTGATATTTTATTTATTTATTTATTTATTTATTTATTTATTTATTTGAGGGAGAGGAAGGCAGAAAGAGAGGGAGGGAAATATTAATGTGTGGTTGGCTCTTGTGCACCCCCTACTGGGGACCTGGCCTACAACCCAGGCATGTGCCCTGACTGGGAATCGAACCAGTGACCCTTTGGGTCACAGTCTGGCGCTCAATCCATTGAGCCACACTGGGTGGGGCAGGTCTAGTTTTTCACTCGGACTCTGGCCCCTTGTCCCAGTGTCATTGGGAACTGCAAGGCTCTAGAGAAAATTGACTGAGAGGGAAGCCTAGAATGTGAATCATAATCAAAATTAAGCTTATGGAAAATAAAGAAATGCAAAAA